ATTTCATTCATAACACTATATTTCAATTTAAAAGCCAAACTAAACGAATTGTGCTTAGTGCTCTTGCTTTCAATTCTTCTGAATCCTCAACTTTCATGTTTTCTGACTTTTTATCTTACAACGCTTTCAGTAATCACTGCTGAATTAGAATATCTTTCACCATATTCTGTCATATGCTGAAATTACTTTTCCTGTCAAAATGCTTAATCTGCTCAAATTTTATCCATGATATCATCATGACTTTTTTTTTCCACATATATTTTTTTCTCAGGATCTTTTGTTGTCCACTTATATATATTGTCATATATGTGTGTACATATGTGCAAATTTTATCGTTTTATTGAACTGTTTTACTGCAGGCTCATGTGACCATAAGTGGACCTTCAATGCCATGAATGCTACAAGAAGGTCAAAAAAGTTCTCTGTAGTTTTTCTCGTGAGTGCATCTCTCTCTCCCGAACAACGAATAACATTTTCACTTTTTAGAATTGAAAAACAAAATATGACTATTTACGTCTTAAGAGAATATATAGGGGTTGTTCTTTTATATTTTTGAGTTAAGGTAACTTGAGCGATGATTTTGTATTAAGTTTGAGTTATAACTTGAGTTAAAGTTATAACTTAAGTTTGTGTTTAGATGCGCACATTTGAGTTATGATTTAAATTGAAAATTTTTTTGAGTTTGTATTTAAGTGGGTCAAAACTTAAATTTGTATTTAGATAGTATTTAATAAAAACTCAATGATGATGAAAAATTTTAATAGAGTACATGGATGAGGTTTTATTCGTCTTTTCGTTGTGAATCCATATAAAAAAAAATCATCTCAATCATTAAAACAAAAAAGTTATATGACATTTTTAAAAATAGAAAAAATATTGTTTATTAACTTGAGTTCGAGTTGATGAACTCGAGTTAAAAGAGAAACTTGAACTCGAATTTAGCCCCAACTCGAGTTCAAACTCAAATTTTATAAAAAAATATGAACTTAAATAAAATTGTAACTCAAGTTCATACTTTTTTTGAGTTTCGTTGTAAAAAAACAACCTCATAATTTATTGTTTTTACCATATATGATTTTATTTCATATATATTGGAGGATATATTTGTGTCGTCTGTATATATAGTCATGCGTTCTTGTATACCGGAGGATATATTTGTGTCGTCTGTATATATAGTCATGCGTTCTTGTATACCGGAGGATATATTTGTGTCGTCTGTATATATAGTCATGCGTTCTTGTATACCGTGTGTGTATAAACTATGTTTATGATACATTTGATTTTTTTTTTTTAATTTTTTTTTTGTGAACAAACAGAAGTGAAGCAAAACACAGTGACAATCAAAGTGCTCTGCTAATTAAATTACGTGGCATAATTAAAACACTTAAAATTAAACTGTAGGTCGATAATTATAGTCAAACTCACCCTGACATTATTGCCTATATATAGGTACATATAGTAAACTGTCGTACTTCGATCACTATAAATGTTTATGTCAACCAAATATTATTCATTTTTAAGAAAACAATAAATAGGTTAGTTGTGATAATTTATAGGTTAGTTGTGATAATTTATGCACGTAAATAAGTAGACCACGACGTCTTCTGACAAGATTTGAAAGTGGTTTTATTTATAGGCACGGGACTGTAGGTAAACGACAAACAAAATGGATGCTCCTTAGTAAATAATAAGAATGATAATTTGTATATATATATATATATATATATTGTTAAAAAAGAGTACTTTTATCTTTTTGTAAGCTTACCGATTGCATTCTATTAGAAAACGTGACGATAAATGTTTTTTCCCAATATATATATATATATAAGGAAAGATTGGTTGAAATTCTCATAAAGGACATAGACTGAGCTAGCTCCCTCAGTGACACATACGTAATATGCATATTATGTTGGAAAAAAAAACACTTTTATATTTAAGCAGCACAAAAATAAATTAAAACAAAAATAATAGAAAGTTAGATAACACAAATATTTAAATGATTTAAAAAAATTTCCTACAATCATAGGAGAGGAAGAAAAATTTATTGACAGTTTTAAATTACACACTCGACAAACTTTTTCATTTTCTCATTCTACCCAAAACCTCTTATACCCTTATTTATCTCTCTCCTCACTTCTTTATCTCCCTCTCTCTCTCAAAAGGAGACACTCTTTCTCTGCACTTGTCTCTTAGTACACTTTTCTCTAAGCACATAAAGCCTTACACAAAACACTTATTTATAGACTCATAATGAGCCATAGAATAACCCTTGCCCAAAAACAGAAAACGACAATTTACCTAAAAAACACAAAATAGTAACTTTCTCAAAACCAATTTGAGTTACTTACCTAATAATCTCCTCAAATTCTCTCAACTCACATATTCGGGTATCCAATCTAGACAGCCGTTATCGTACCCCTCATGTATGACTAGTGTGACAACAATGCAAATTTTAACAAGAATAAACATGTGTCAAGTTCAAACTTTCATCAAACTTCACACGAGAAATTGTCTTCTTCTTCTTCTTCAAAGCATCTTGATCACTGCCATAGTTCTTAACCATCTTGTCGTTGTTGTCTTCAACTGTCGTCAGCATCTTGTTGTACTCCTGCAACTTCTTTCACAACAGAGGAAGACTCTTCATGGCTTGGCTCCACCTACAATTGTTATCCCAATCAACTTATACAAATTTTTCACCTTTTCACCATTCATGGCTACCAATTCACCTATTTTAATTTGCATATAAAACCACCCTTCATGTAATACTCACAACCCAAAGTGTCTAAAACCCCAAAGAAATCAAAAGAAATCAAACTTCTCTTTAGTTGAGGAACATGCCCTAAAGAAATCAAACTTCTCCTTAGTTGAGGAACATGCCTAACATTTTTCAATTTTCTCACAACTCCATTGAGCATCTCCACCTTCACAGTACCTATTCCAACAACTTTAACACTAGAATCATTGGCCATCAACAAAGTACCAGCATCACAGGGCTTATAAGAATCAAACCACTTTTATGTGGACTCATATGAAACGAGCATCCAGAATTCAAGATCTAAGGGTCAGAAATATTTTCATTAGCAATAACAGAATAAACATCACGTTCACTATCATACTTGTCACCAACAACATTTACAGAATCTGAAGTCTCATGTGGTTCTTGCTTTCTCGTTTCTTCAAGGTGTTTCGTCAGGTCTTCACAATTTCTCCTAATATTCCCTTTCTTACGACAATAATAGCACTCAATATCCTTCCTTAGATGGGATTGAGAATGATCATCTCTCCTACCCCTATTCGATTCTGACTATGCCACTAAAACTTGTTCAGTATGAGACGTACCACTAGGCTTTTTCATATTTGCAATCTCTAATAGAACAGTCGACATCTTATCCATAGTCAACGTTGTCTTTCCAACTAACAGTATAGTCACTAAAGTCTCATATGATTTGGGTATGGAGGCCAACAAAATTACCGTTTTATCTTTCTCATTAATTTTGAGCTCTACACTTAACATTTAAGTTATGCACTTATTAAAATTATTTATATGATCCCTAATATAAGTTTTCTCATCTATCTTCAACTCATACGATTGCTTCTTCAAATATAATATATTTTTTAGGGATTTTGACATATAAACTTTTTCTAATTTTTTTTCCATAACTCAGAATGAGATGGCTCATTTATAACACTATATTTCAATTTTAAAGCCAAACTTAAACGAATTGTGCTTAGTGCTCTTGATTTCAATTCTTCCGAATCTTCATCTTTCATAATTTCTAGCTTCTTGCCTTTGAGCGCTTTCAGTAATCCCTGTCGAATCAGAACATCTTTCATGGTACTCTGCCGTATGCTGAAATTACTCTTCCTGTCAAAACGCAATCTGCTCAAACTTTATCCAGGACATCATCTTGACTTTTTTTTTAATCTTCACCACATTTCTGATACAAGTTGTTGGGAAAAAGAAACACACACTTACACTCACGCAGTAGAAAAATTAAATGAAATAAAAATAACCAAAAAATAGAGAAGACAAAGATTTAAATGGTTCGAAAAAATTTTCTACGTCCAGGAGAGAGGGTGAAAAATTCACTAACAGTTTTAGAATTACACACCCAACAAACTTTCTCACTTTCTCTCTCTACTAAAAATCCCTTGCACCATTGCTTATCTCTCTCCTCACATCTCTCTCTCTCTCTCTCAAAAGGAGACACTATTTCTCTGTACTTTTCTCTTAACACACTTTTCTCTGAGTACACAAAGCCTTACCCAAAGCACTTGTTTATAGACTCCTAATAAGCCATAAAATAACCATTTCTCAAAAATAGAAAATAGTAATTTACTCAAAAAACACAAAATAATAACTTTTTATCTAAAAAAAACATAAAATAATAACTTTCTCAAAACTAATTTTAGTCACTTAACTATCATATTATATATAACATGATATTGTCTCATTATATATATATATATATATATTAAAGGACGCCAATGATAGAAAATAATAATACAGGACACAGCACATGCAAATGGGGGGATTGGAAAATCAGGCGCGGTAGGAAAGCTACTAGCTTTTTCTTTTTTTTTTTTCCTTTTTTTTTTGAAAAGTAATATTGCTAGCTATCCTTCTCATAATCACGCCACGACAATGTTATATTAATCATCGAGCCAATTTTTGTATTCTTTTATTCGTGTTTTTTTATATCTTTTTAATAATATTATGATAGATTAATTAAAGTGTCACGTTAATTATAAAATTTTTATTATATTAATTAAAAAATTATGATGTGACGTATTATTAGATGAAAAAGAACATAAGAAAAAAGAAGGATATGAACCCATTTCATTAATCATATTCAACACCCAACAGTAGGTATCGTCTTCTGATTCGTTCTCCATATGTACGAGCTATTGTGCTTACGTCTTCCTAATGACCACTTGTAATTATTACCTAGGGGAAAAAAACAACATAAAAAGGACCAATTTGGTGTTGTTATATCCTCTCTTTCATGGATCATGGATATTTCATGTCTTTTTTCTAAACTTTCTCCATTTAATTATAAATTCCTCAATATTACGGTACCAATCTGCTACTCCATCGTGATCAATTGCTTCGAGTTGATCAGGTACTGATCATCATTTGAGATCTCAAAGCCATGGTGGATAATAAGGTACTTCATTTGGTGCACTCTTTCTCTATCTATTTTACAATTTTGCTTGATATATATATATATATATATATATATATATGATAGTTTCCTCTTTATTTCTAAAATGTCAATATTTGATTTGTTTTTGGGCGATCTTTTTCTTGATTTCCTTATACCCAATTCTTCAGAAACGTGATTGTGTTCTTCTAAATTTCTTTCGCCTAAGCGGACATTGATCTTATCTTTTTTGTTCTATTTATTAGGACTTTTTTAATTAAAAAAAAAATTATATACGATCGATATGAATTTCTTAAACTGTTAATTACAGCAATCAGTCACCACAATGGTGCTGAAGGTGGATCTTCAGTGTTGGCGATGCTACAAGAAGGTCAAAAAAATTCTTTGTAAATTTCCCCGTAAGTTCAAATCTCTTAATTCCCTTTAATGTCTTTTATCTAATTCCCTTTAATGTCTTTTATCTAAGTACCTATAAATGCAAACAAGCATTATGTATACACACATTGTTGATACAATAAAAGATGTATTCGTAGTAGATATCTTTTTGTTTCTGCTGAAAGAAACATAAATAAGTAAATATATTAACTACAGTATTATATCATGTGCGTGTGAACGTAGTATGTAGGTATATATTTATGCATATATATGTGTGTGTATATATACAAGTGAATGTGTACATATACGTAGATCTGTGTATAAACTGTATTTGTGTATATTGAGCGACCAAGGATAAGTAGTGAAAATATAAACTGATCTGTAATTATCGAGGGAAGTATTATTGAATCTTTTTGTGGAAAATACATGTATATATACAGAAATACAAGACCAGGTATACGATGAGAAGCAAAACACAGTGACAATCAGAGTGGTGTGCTGCAGCCCCGAAAAGATCAAGCGAAAGATAATCTGCAAGGGTGGAGAATCCATCAAGAGCATTGACGTCAAAGTCCCCGAAAAACCCAACCCCAACAAAGAAAATCCCGACAAGCAGGGAAAAAGTAGTAAACCCCAAGGTGATGGGAAACCTAATGCTTCTGATCTCCCGAAGCCGAAGAAAGATCAACCCGATCAGAAGACCCGATGTCCCCCGGATTCCAAAGGAAAACCTGAGAACGTGCCGCCTTCATCGGGGCCGACGCTGGTGCCAGAGTACCAACCGCCGACGTGCTGCAGGGAGTGTTACGAAGGGCGTGGCGGCGGGCCGTGCTTTTACGGTTGTCAAGGACGGGGGCTGCCGCCATGTTATCAATACGACGGTTATTTGGGAAGGCCGGTTTACGACAGCTACGGCGGAGGAAGAAGCGCTTGCTACCTGATTTGTGAAGAAGATTCCGGTCAAGTATGCCGAATTATGTAAAATGCTACTAGAATGCCATGCAGCAGCTAGAATATGCAATGATCATCTTCTTTGCGTGGAAATAAAAACGTAAGCTCGATATTAAGGGTCTTTGTTGGGTGCATCACATTCTAGTAATTATCTTTTGTTTATTGTTTCTGAAAATAAAAGGAATTTTAAAGATTGTATTGCATGCGCACCGTCTTCGGTCTCCACTATTGGATTCACTTTCAGAGAAACAAAAAGGGAGTGTTAATCTAGTTTTTGACAATCCGTTTATTGTTTTTAATAAGTGTGTGTTTGATGATTATGGGGAAATAATAAAGACTTGATTAGTGACATGATTACGTTACGTTGTTAACTTGTTATTGATGTTGAGGTATTGACCAGTCACAATCGAATCGTTCGTTTTTAAAGTTGTACACATGAGTTTGTAATTTCATGTTTTGAAACGATCGATCGTTGACCAGTGTCCATTCGTTTCCTTTATATGGTGTACCTGCCTTTTATTCTTTGTTAAAATGTAAATTAACCTCGTTGTTTATGGATCAACTAAAGATATAAAAAATTCACACACAAAAAAAAAAAAAAAAACAAATAAATAAACATATAAAGGGTTAGGCAGTACTAAAGCATCACAGACGACAAACTCGGTTAATTGAGTGTTTAAATGAAGGACGTGACAATTTATGCAATTTAAACAACCGATACATGTGTTCAGCATTTTTTGCTACTGTTATTGTGTGCAGCAATATTATGTACATTCCACATGCAATGTAGTTATAGAATCAGCCTTCAGCAAGTAAGCAACCAATGAATTAGGAAATGAAAAAGCTACTTTTGTTTTGTCATTTGAATGTGGGGCTATACTAATTCATGCTTTCCAAAGCTATCTTTAGTCTTTTTGTTTCTCTTTTCTTGTGCAAGCAATTAAGCATCCAACTCTTGTTTCCGCGTAGTTATTAATATCAATAGTATTACCTTGTCCCAGGAAAGTGCTAAGAGCTAGCTGTGCAATATTATAGTAAATGTCTTCTTTTGCCTCTGTAAGGTGGCCGAGTACTGTCTGAGAAGATGGCCCGACTAGGTTGAATTCAGTAACACTAATCTTTATATTTCTAGTGGGGGAAAAAGCATGTTGTCGGAGGGAGGAGCGGCTTTCTTAGATACCTTCGAGGCACCTCGTATAATTCTAAAAGAAGTGAAGGGTCCGTTTGTTTTACACGTTTAAGTCAATCATTTTGATTTATTGGTGAAAACTTTGTGAGACAATCATTGAAAAGAAATTTTTAAATTCAAATGTTTTGCAAGAAGAAAACACTGTAGTAAAATGAGAATCATAAATTCAAATACATTTGTCAAACGGCCCCAAATCTCAAGAGCATGGAGTTTTTTTTCTCAAGATCAAGATGTCTAACTTTAGGATCACAAAGCAAGTACTTAAGGCAGGAAGTTGATCGCGCGTTTGACTTTACTTATGGGCCTGTTTTGCTTAATTCTACATTTTTTTACATTTTTATATTTTTATATTTTATACGACTCCCTCAATTTTTAAGTAGTTGGCTGATAATATTAAAGAGTAATGTAAAGCTAAGATATAGCGTTTGAGCACAGATTTGCTGTCTAATGTTATGCTAAATTTTGCATATAAGTTTTATCATATTTTATTTCTTTCATAAAATACAAGATTTTAATGCTGTGATTAACATGCTAAGTACAAAATTATATTGCACGAGCTTAGGCATCATATTTATGGCACTAAAAGCATCTTCAACCAATAAAATATTATTTTCCACTAAATTTGACATTTATTTGTTATTGATTGATGTGTTAATTTTTCAATTGAATTATCATATTGTTACGTCAAATAAAAGTTTACGTTAATTTATTCTAATCGATGTAACAAAATATTATTAAGGCTACAAAAAAGGATATGAAAAAGGGGAAAAAAAAAAAAGTGAGCTGAATCCACTCCGCGCGTTTACCTTATCTTGATAAGTCTCGTCATAGTACAATGTTAATTTTTTGTTAAGGAAAAAGGTATTTAAATTTAAAACCACCTTAAAGGTCCTAAGTTACATTTTTCAAAAGGAACAGCCGAACTGGTTCGTGTTTGACTTTGTTTAAAGAATGGGCAAAAAAAAAAAAAGGTGGGCCTTCATAACTATAGTTGACTTTCTCATGAACCTTTAATATTGATAGTTTTCGCTATTAATCATTCATCGCTTAATTCAATGAACAATTCACAGACCATTGACTTATATAAGAATGATAATACTTTCTTCTTCTTCATGTACTGCATTAAGAGACAATAAAAACATTATCAAAATAACGAATCGGATTAGTGCTCCTCATGAGTCAGAGGCCAACACAGTCTACCACCGCCCCACACCATCAAACGACAATTCCCATATAAATAAACACAAAGTAAAAGCCTATATATATATATATATATATGTATTTATATAATACATATATACATATATAGATATACACATGTGTGTGTGTTGTTAAATCAATTAACAAACGAACTTCGTTATGGCTTGCACGTCAAAGAACCACCCATACGTGAATAAGAAAATCATCAAATTAAAGCCCACATAATATAAATCTAGGAATTTGCTCCTAATTGATCATTTCACTCACGAACCAAAAACTAAACAATGGAAAACTGCGTACATATTTTTCTGCCTAAATTAGAGAAGGTCAGAGTAGTAACCTACAATGGAGAAATACTAGAATTCAAAGGCCTAACGAAAGTGAAGAAGATAACTACTTCAGGAGCATACAAGGGCTACAATCTGGTACACCATTCTCAGCCGTTTTCGCCATTGTCTTCCAATGCCAAGCTAGAGCCCGGAGAGGTTTACTATCTTGTGCCGGACTTGGCATTGATTTGTCCGAAAGTAGTTGCTGATAACTGTACTTATAAGATCAGACAGAAGATTAAGATTGTGGTGACTAGAGAACAACTGGAGTACTTGCTGTTGAGAAGTGGTTCTTCAAAGCAGTTGCAGAGTAAGGATGTTTGTGTTCGAGTGTCGGAGAGTTTTTCTGGGTTTGAAGAAGGAAGATCTCCGAGATCATGGCGTCCGTCCTTGGCTTCCATTGAAGAGGCGAAGGAGTTTTGAGAGACGGGATAGTTTGGGCTCGGCCCATCTTACGATATATTACTCTTACAGGCCCGATGGATTTTTGTCAATGGCGGCCTGCTCGTGATGTTTTCTTTTCTTTTCTTTTCTTTTTCTCAACATGTAATTAGCAAAAAAAGAAAGGGGGAAAATGTCCGGTCCTTCTGGCTTCAAAATATGATTACTATTAGTGATACGAAAAGGGGTAAAATGGTATATTTTTCTACCTTTCAATCCCCTTATGTTTCTTGTTAAGTTGCAATTTCCCCGTCATAAAGTCCCCGTATGTATTACATTGTACAAAGTCTGATTTGGTATGAATACTCGGATTAGAATTGTTTTTTCAGGTTACAGGAAGTTCTATAAAACCTTCGATTTTAGGTTAAATGAACTTAAAATCTAAAATCAATATGCAACCAAACACTGGTTTGGATTGCCTTTTAGGTTTAAACTCACGAAAACCCTCTAAACAATTGACACTTAAAATCGAGTTTAGTGATGTCTACAAAAAAAAATTCCGGTATTGAATTAGAGGAAACCGTAAATTAAGATGATTTCAATGGCCATGTTTAGAATTGATCCCGTTTTTATTTTTCACGTTTTTCAAGAAAGAAAAAATGAAAACGTTCTCAAAACGACGTTTGGTGCAATAAAGACAAAAAACGGAAATGAAAACGATTTTTTAATTTAGTGTAAAATGAGAGAGAAATGAAAAATGACTTTTAATCGTTTTTCATTTTTTATTTTTATTTTCTCCTCTCTGGAGCGGAGAGAGAGAAAGAGAGACATTAATGAGTTTTTTTACACTGAAAACAAAATTTTAATAAAACTACTAAACACATTTTTAAAAATGATTTCTGTCTGAGAGTGAAAATGTTTTCATTTTCATTTTTATACAAAAAATAAAATCATTTTAAAACGAGTTTCAATATGTCATTCCAATTCCATTTATCCTCCGTAACTTTATTTTAACTAAATTAAAATAAGATTATTTTTACTTCTTTTAAGTAGATTTTTTATTGTTATCCTTTAAACTCTGACTCATTCTTATTTTACCCTCAAAATTTTAAAAAGTGGTATAAAACTATCATGTTTAATTAACCCCTTTCATTGTGTAGGTTGTTAAAAATAGTAGAAAAAGCTCCACACATGATGTCTCAAAAAAGTGAGAGTATAAATGGAAGAGTGTAAAGTTTAAGGAGAGGCACAAATATTCTTTTGAAACGTAGCACTTCTCCATTAGTAGAGGTTAGTTTTTAACGATTAAATTTAATTAAAATTAATTAAAAACATATACATAATAAATAATTTTTAATATAAATTTAACTATTAAATATATAAAACTAATATTTTATTTTTTCTAATCACTCTTGATATTCACTAGTTTTGACGGTTTGAAAGGAAAACATGTGTATGGCTTAAAAAAATCTTAAATAAATACGGATGGACAAGTTTGTCCATTCTATGGGAGCTATAACAAAGTAAACAAGGTTAATATCGTAAATCACAGCCGTCCTATCCTGTTCTCCTCAGAAGCAAAAGGCAAACCCAGAAGCAACCACGGAGGCACTGATAGAAGAGAGCGAGGGAAAACTAATGGCTTACTCTCTCTGCTCTTCACCTTCCCCTCTCGTCCATGAACGCCAATCCGTCTCCTACTCTCTCTATTCATCGAGAAAACCCAGTTCAAGAAACTTCAATCACTCTTCGAAACTCAGTTTTCTTTCGTCTCAATCCATACCATCTCTCCAGATTAGCCATGTCTCCGTACAAGACCCAATTACGCAAGAAACTCGGGACCAAACCGAAAAGCGCGATGACCCAGATGGAAAATCCGGTTCTTCGTCCAAAAGCTATATCTGGGTCAATCCCAGAAGCCCCAGAGCTTCGCAGCTTCGGAGGAAATCGTATGATTCCAGGTACACTACTCTAGTGAAAATAGCTGAGTCTTTGAACTCGTGTAATCCGATTGAGGATGAAGTTTCGAAAGTTTTGGAGTCTTTAGGCGGTAAAATATTAGAACAAGACGCTGTTGTTATACTTAATAATATGGTGAATTCTGATATTGCTATTCTTGCACTTAAGTACTATCTGAAGAACTTTAAACCTAATAGAGAGGTGATTCTTTACAACGTAACGTTGAAGGTGTTTAGAAAGTGTAAGAATTTGGGTGGAGCAGAGAAGCTGTTTGATGAAATGCTTGAGAGAGGTGTTAAACCTGATAATGTCACGTTTTCGACTATGATTAGCTGTGCTAGGGTGTCTTATCTGCCTGATAAGGCTGTAGAGTGGTTTGAGAAGATGGGTACTTTTGGGTGTGATCCCGATGATGTTACGTACTCGGCTATGATCGATGCCTATGGGCGTGCTGGTAATGTTGACATGGCTTTCAACTTGTATGACCGTGCTAGAACCGAGAAATGGCGCATTGATCCGGTAACATTCTCGACTTTGATTAAGATTCACGGTCAATCAGGGAACTTTGATGGGTGTTTGAATGTCTATGAGGAGATGAAGGCTATAGGGGCTAAGCCAAACTTGGTTACTTATAACACTTTGTTGGATGCTATGGGAAGAGCTAGGAGGCCTTGGCAGGCTAAGAAGGTTTACCAAGAGATGACTGCCAATGGGTTTTCCCCAAATTGGACAACCTATGCGGCTCTCTTGCGGGCTTTTGGTAGAGCACGGTATGGTGATGATTGTATTAATGTGTATAGGGAGATGAAGGAGAAAGGGCTGGAGTTGAATGTGATTCTCTATAACACAATTTTGGCTATGTGCGCTGACGTTGGCTACACTGATGAAGCTATTGAAATCTTTGCAGAGATGAAGAGTTCTGGGATTTTACCTGACAGTTGGACATTTTCATCTATGATTACTATATATTCCTGTAGTGGGGATGTATTGAAAGCGGAGGCCACGTTGAATGAGATGTTGGAAGCAGGTTATGAGCCTAATATATTTGTCTTAACTTCACTTATTCAGTGTTATGGGAAAGCCAAGCGCTTTGATGATGTTGTGAGGACATTCAATCAACTTTTAGAATTGGGCATTAGTCCAGATGAGCGCTTCTGTGGTTGTCTTCTAAATGTCATGACACAATCGCCAAAGGAGGAACTTTTTAAGCTTACGGGCTGCATCGAAAAGGCCTATCCGAAGCTCGGATACGTGGTAAAACTTTTACTGGAGGAGGGTGGTGAAACTGAAATTTTCAAAAAAGAAGCCTCAGAACTTTTTGAGACTATTGGAGCTGATGTAAGGAAAGCTTACTGCAATTGCTTGATTGATCTTTGTGTTAACCTCAATCTGTCAGAGAAAGCATCCAAACTACTACACCTGGGACTCGCACAAGAAGTATACACAGATTTACAGGCCAGATCTCCAAGCCAGTGGTCTCTCAATTTGAAGGGTCTTTCTCTTGGGGCAGCTCTTACTGCATTACATGTTTGGATAGATGATTTGTCCAAGGCATCGGAATCTGGGGAAGATTTTCCACCATTGCTCGGAATCAATACTGGACATGGGAAACACAAGTATTCAGACAAAGGTTTGGCAGGTGTTTTTGAGTCACACTTGAAGGAGTTAGATGCCCCGTTCCATGACGCTCCAGATAATGCTGGCTGGTTCTTGACCACAAAGGTTGCGGCCAAGTCATGGTTGGAATCTAGAAGTTCATCCGAAGAAGTAGCTGCTTAGCGCTTTTTCGATCTTTTATTTCATTTTCTGAGAATTCTCGGCACTCACCTCTTCGGGCTTGGACTGGTACAAGCTGCTTCTCAAATTAGCAATTACATGTTTCTGGCACATTCTCTTTTGTAGAGAGCATTTTTGTACTTAAGAACTCAAATTAAGCTCGTTCTTTGATGCTTTACAGAGTAAAAAAGTTTTAAGAATATAAGAACCTTCTTAATGGCTAGATTATCTATTGTTATGGTCCCGTCCTTGAAGAATATTTTGCTTCATGCCATATCTGAAACTTGTCTGAATGAAGTTTTCAAAGTAGGGAAATTTGGAGAGAACCTCTTTGAGCAACATCATGTAAGAGATTCTGGTGGTGGCCGTCGATAAAAACTCTTGAGTTCTTTGAAGTTTGAACTGTCAATATGTCAACTTATTCTTCTTCTTCGGTTTTTATGTTTGATCTTCTTCTTCTCCTTCTACAGATATTGTACTTTCTGACAATCATTGTTGGTTATTCTCTTTAACTATTTGATATATTCAGAAAATGCCAAGTTTCAAATGGTGGTTTTTTTTTTTCCCCCTCAGTTCTGAGTTAATGCCTGGGGAGACTTTTCCTCACTCATATTCTTTTTTTAAATATTTTCATTTTCATATATTGATATTGAAGGGAAATTCATCATACTTTTGAAGCTATTGTCGCCAAGGAAAATTTGTAGGCCTTTTGTTTTTTTTTTTTTTTTTGGTGGTGATTTTATCATTTCATGTCGTTTTTCAGGCTGTCGTTTTCTTTACCTGTAGGCGTTATCGTACTACTACACTGTTAGAATTATCGTCGTTCACTGGTTATTATATTTCTTTCTTTATTTGTTTAGTTCCTGTTACTTGCAAGAGATGTTGTCGTTTTTGGAAGTTCATGTCGTTTTACTTTTTTCTAGCCGACGTAACTAGCAACTAGCAAGAAACAGAGTACGTCGCTTTCTTGCAAGAGCGAGAGAGAAACGACCAAACATTCAAACAAAACCAGAGAGGAGTTTTTTTTTTTTTTTTTTGGGTTCATAGTCGCCTTTATTCAATGAACAAATTACAATGCATAGCCGACCTCCAATGGAATATCACACATCAGTTTCCCACTTTCCCTTTCATTAATAGCAATTGTATATAGTCGAAGTTATAATAGAGAAGCTTGTCATAAACAGGTTCTTTTTTTTCCCCTTATCTTCACATGATTCAACATTTCTGATATTTCTTATTAGCTTTCAAACGACATCGTTTGTCACAAAACACAAAGGATTCTCACAATTTGCATAATCTTTGTTGCTTTTTACAAGTTTCATGTTTGTAAACAGTGAACACAAAGTATATGCAAGTACAAATACTCAAAACGAAAATTCTACATTGTTTATGTGAATCTCAAACAGATAAAAAACACAAATCCAATCCACTCTAACATGTACAAACGACTGGTTTTCTGTGATGACATTATTCAACCAGCTGCCAATTTGCAACCACTCTGTTCCTTTTGTATTTACAAATAAAAAAATCACAAGCAATAATTGATAAATCGAACTGTTTGTTCCTCCAATGTGGAGGACTTCTCAAGTTGATTTTGTCACCCTGCAAAAATAGAAAACCAACCAGAAGTTCATATCAGTCATAACATAACCAAGGTTGAAACTTTTTGTATTTGAATTAACTCTCGAGAGAAAGCACACTATTAAGAAAATGAGAAAGATAATATTGAGGATTATGAAACCTTTAATTACCGTTTAGCAGAGTTAACGACTCTTTTCTTGCTGTTACCATCAATCTTAGCTGATGCAGCTTCTCTCTCTCTGGCTGCTGCTTCTCTTTTCACTCTCTTCGACTCTACTTCCATGGCTTTTGCTAGTGCTTCAACTTTCTTCATCAGATTCTGAAAAGCATTTATCACCTAATTTAGTTTTTTGATAGCGAAAGAAAGAAGAATGAGTAATCACTCTTTGGCTTTACCTTTATTTCTTGATCTTTAGCACTCAAATCATTCTCTTTGGCTTCACAAAACTTCCTTAGACTAATGACCTCTTTTTGAAGCCTATCGTACAGAAACCCTGAGACCATATCTTCGCCATCAGAGTTTGTGGCTGCTTCTGTATCACCGGCACTACCTTTACTTTTGAGTTCTCCAGAAACTATTGTATCACTGTTGTTAGTGTTTGTCTTCGTGTCCGTGTTTTCCTTCTCGGCAATGTCAGCAATCTTATTTCTAGATGTCCATAAACCTTTTTTCAACAAATTTTCTCCAGGAGCATTTTTCTTCCTCATGGTATTTGCTCCTTTTAGCTCTCCAACAACTATCTCGTTATCTAAATTTGGTTGTTGCAGAAGAGTGTTTCTGCTAAGGGTCGAACCCCTCGGTTGCGATGTTGACCTCTTTCGAAGCCCTCCAGTGCTTGTCAAAAATCCTAGAATGTTACTGGACTTTTCTGTTTTAGGTGAACCACAAAAAGCGCTAGTGTTGTTCGAGAAACTTGACACATCCTTTAGTCCATCTTCAAGTGTCTTCAGCCTCAGCTTAAATTTTTCCTGGCGTAGAACAACACATCAAAGAATATTTACTCATTGAAGTTGGTAACAAATAAAAAAAAAATTCTTATAAAAATAAGAGGCAAAAAACTTTGAAATGATGAATATAATTTCACCTTCAGTTGTGCCTCTGCCTTGGCTGTTCTCTCTGACACAGTTAGCTTGTCTCGCAGCCGTTGCATCTCGGCCTGTAATGACAGAGAAAGTAAATATTTACCACATATTTCACATGTCAAAGTTTCCCCTCATTTCATATCTAATCTTTCTGATCTTGTAAGGAGATACTGCAAAGTGTGAATAATAGTGATTTTGTAGGAAACTTCTAGGGTATCAAAATTACCTGCATAAGCCTTCTTTCTTCCAGCCACTGCTTAACAGGCATAACTTTATCATTTTCATCCTTCCACTCGTTAGCCACCACGGTTGCTATCCGAGTCGCTGAAACTTTTGCTCTTGCCAGCTCCCTCTCCAAAGTCCTCTTTTCTTCCTGAGAAGTAGTAGCACTCAACAAAAGTCAGCATTTCAAATTTGGAAAATCTAAATTTTTCAAAAAATAAAAAAAAAAGATCAAGTAAATCAATCTTTTTGAGATGAAATCTTTCAGGTCACTTACATTCAACTCTTCAATCTGGCGTTTGTGGTCGCGAACGGCGTTGGCTGCAGCTCCTGCTGCTAGAACAACCTCCTCAAGTTCTTGAATGGTTTGGCTGAGCTTTTCAACCTCTAGAACCTTTTGGCGGTTTGTTTTCTCTAGGATTCTGTTCTCTTCCTGCATGAATTATTACATTCTAATTAGATTGACCATTCATACCTTACTCTGTCGAATATGTAACATGATCTAGTATGATAATCATGCCTGGCAAATCTCAATCTGTCTCCTCAGTTCATAGTTCTGGTTTTGAACCTCTTCAACTATCAAAGCCCTTTCTAGAGCACTTCTCAAAATCCTTTCTGCTTCAAGCAGAGCCGACTCTTTTGACTTGGTGAGGCGTTCCAAAGCCTTCTTATCTTCCTGAAGAGCAGCAATCTGAAAAGAAAAAGACCCCAAAGAGAAGAATTATACAACGCACTTTTCTTTTTTTTCACAAAAAAAAAGAAGGTTTTTCTTATAACTTTCATCTACTACCTCATTCTTGTACATTTTGATTTCAGCCTCAAGAGGAGCAACGACAGACGCAAGAGGAAGAGCATCGTCGTCCTTTTGGTTCGCATGTAGCCTTCTAAGAGCCGCTTCTGCGGCAAACTGAGCTGCCAATGCGTCTTTCTTATCACTTGTTAGTTTCTTGATTTCAAGATTCTGCATTTTTTGTAAGATTTGTATATGTCACACTAACTTGGTTCACATTAAGTATACTCATGAATATTTGAAGAGATCAGGAAAGAACTTGAACCCGTTACCTTATGCTCCAGCAGATTTTCATTCACTCTGAGCTTCTCATCCATTTTCTGAACTTGGATTGTGAGCTGGAAAAGAAACAAAAATAAAATTCAAACAAATACATTCACTAATGAAACAGTGCGTCTTTAAGTATTATCAATCATCTAATGAAAAATTAAAAAAAAAAAAGTTGCAAATTCTTTGTATTAAATGTTAAAAAGTGTAAGTTACATATTTGCACATATTTTATTCAGTACCTCTTCGACAGCCTTATCCTTCAGAGCTTCAGTTGCTGTGAGAGACTTGATTTCACCCTGAGCAACCCCCAATTCCCGCTCCTTTTCTGCAATTTGATAAAAGGAAAAAAAAAATAAAAAGAAAATTTGATCACTACATTTGACAACATATATGTATATATTCATAATATATATATATATATATATGTTCACTGAACATGAAAAAAAGAGAGTAAAAGTACGTATATCAGAGTTAGACAATAGAAACTATTGGAAGCGTTCCTTTTACCATGTCAATTTCCTTTAATTAAAGGTTGCCACTAAAAGATGTATGTTTTCAAATTTTCATCACCGGTGATATACTGCAATAAATACAAACATATACTACACAGAAGCGTAGATATGTACATATATATATAGGCCATATTATATAATCGCCTATTTTCTGCTACCATTAATAGGAAATGAAAAGTGGTAAGATCATACACTGGAAATGTACAGAAACATGTTTCAAAACTACCGAAAGACAAAAATATTATATTGTACCAGTGACAACATGAATTATGTTGAAACAGAAGAAACACATATTTCACTGAACCAAACAAGAAGTAAGAAATCAAAAGACATGAACAAATATAGGCACGTTGAGCCTAAAACATAGAGAAAGAATCAAAATAACCTTTGAGAAGGTCCTTCAAACGATTGAGCTCTAATACAACAGGGTCCGGATGAACAAGAGAAAGCTCCTCAGAACCATATTGTTCTTCATGACACGCCATGGTTTTAGTTTGTTTGTTTTTTGTTTTTTTTTTTTTGACACTTTTAGCTAAAAAGTTGAAACAAAAACTTGGGTTTTAATGGGTAATGGGATTGGGTTTTAATGAGAGTTTGTGTGTGAGGTTTAAGGAAATGACGACGGTAACGGAGATAGGAATAAATGGACTTTCCTTGCTCAGAAGCAAATCCAAATTTTTTAAGAGTCACTAACACCAATCTTATGAGCCGGCAAATTCGGCTACTTTTGCTCTTATTTTCCCTCTTCTTCTTGATAGTAACGGTTACAACTTTTTTTTTTTTTCCCTTCTCTTTTATGCGCCCTTTTTCTTTAAGTAATGACATTAATTTTCTATTTTTCTTCCCAAATTTAATATCTCAACTAAATGACATGGCCAACAAGAATATCTCTTCTTATCCCATATTCAAGATTTGAAAATCCAGGGATTCAATGGCAAATTAGGATAAACTAATGTAAAACGCATTCCATTCTCTCACCTAATCAACGTCTACTTTTTGGACTATCCAAGGATCATATGGGAAAATACATTGTTAAGTGTGTTTAATAAGTGTATTAGTTGGTGCCACTTGTTTCAAACTTGTTATGTTTTGTTAGATAAAGCCATGACAAGGCCTACAGCAAATATCAAAAGAAAAGTATATTGGTCCCCAAACAAAAACACTTGAGCAACCAAAATAAACGGTTGATTATGTGTCCTTTATTCTTATATAAGATGTTCTTCGGTTTCTGATTATAGTAGAAAGAGATAAGTTATGAACGTTTGGTTCATGTATTCAGAATTATGATTCTGATTTTTAAAATTTAAATTTTTTGTGAGATAAAAATACTGTAAAGAATTAAGAACTATGATTCAGAATCAATGACAAACCTTTAAAACAAACATCTCATTAATTTCCAAATTATGAGGATAAAAGACTACTATTATGTCAAAATCTAGCTACGTTGTTGGAAAACTCTGGTATTGGCGTAATCTAGTTGCTTAAGCGCTAAACCCTCCATAATCCTTGCATTTGTGCGCTTAGTGGAAGTCACTCAAGTGAATTCTTGAATTCAGGCTTGAAGATAATGAGGTATTGATGACTCCGACTATGAAAAGGACCAACTCTAAAGTGGCTTGAAAGAATCAAGTAATTCACATAGATAGAGAGAGAGAGAGAGAGGGTTTTCTCATCTTTGCTTAAAAGAATGATTGAATAAAAAGAGAAACCATGTATATAAAAGACTACCTGTTTTTGGCACTTTTCCATTTGTCAAAGCTTTGAGAAATACGTAGACTTTTCCACACAAAAAAAAAAAAAAAAAGGAATACGTATAGACTATAGTATTCTGATTAAGCGACAAATGGAAGATTCCCACTATCTCCTACCAACGCCCAATTTTCCCCTTTTTTTTTTCTTTTTAATTAATAGAAGGAAAAATAAAAAAGAGAAAACCCCAATTTTAAAATAAAAGAACAAATAGAACGCCGTAACCAAACCTTGCCACTACCAAAACAATCAACTGGGTTTTTGATTAATCTAAAATTTTTGAGGTTTTAGTTCTAATAATTTCTTAATTGAATTCTAACTTACTGCGTGTTGAAAGTGATGGAAAGTGGGATCAAGCTGAGGTCATTTAGATATTCATTTTATTGCGTGTCCCAATTTTGTTCGAGTAGGTAGATATATGGATTAGATTTTTATAATCAAAACTATTATATTTTATAAGCTAAAAGTAATATAATATTTTTATGATGCTAAAGACTTGGACTAATGCGGAGGCTTCTAATGGCTATTTGGAAGTACAAAACTTGATGGAATGGTTGAGATGGAGAACCATTTATCAATAAAATAGTTGGAAGGGAGGGCATTTTAATAAATACGAATCAAACAATTATGGGACGTTTAGTTCATGAATTCAAAACTATTCTCACATGTATTTTTTATGAGAAAAAATATTGTTATCAACTACGAACCAATATTCAAATTATTGTACGAATCCCCCTTCTAAATGATTGCGTTTAGCCTTATTAGCCTGGCCATTGCTTTTCAAATGGTGGAGTCCAAACAACACCTCTATTTTTCCCATTCAATTATTTATTATTTTTTAACTATTCATTTAGTTACGGATCATCTTAATAAAAACTTTTTAAAACTACATATATCAGGAATTTTACCTTTTATTTTTTATTTATAACCTTTTTAATCAAATATTACACTAATAAAAGGGTATTTATCAAGGGTAAGGGGTAAATGTGTAACTCATGCACTCTCAAGAAAAAATTCTCCATTTTTTCTCTTACCCTATATTATAGGGAAAATTATATAATTTATCCTTAGGAGTACATGAGTATAGACTTTTACCCCTTACTCTTAATAAATATCCTTTTATTAGTATAATTATTTGACTAAAAAAAGTATAAATTAAGAATAAAAGGTAAAAATCATAACCCATGTAATTTTAAAGACATTTGTCAAGATTACCTCATTATATGAAATTCTAAACAACTATTTTCTTATAAAACATTATGATTCGATTTTTTTTAAATTATTATTTGTGGTACTATTCCTCATTTCTTATATTCCAATATTGACCATCATTATAAAGTTGTTGTATTTACGATTATGGCTTTATTTGCTTGGACATTTTAAAAAATTTTAATCTTGTTTCGTTATTAAAAAGTTGCAATCTTTTTAGAATTAAAATTAGTGTAATGGTATCTTATGCAAAGACATGGATTTTAATCAATTTTATAATAAAAAATGGAAAAAATCTTATATCGTTTGCAAAATATAATGTCTCGTTTATTTCACCGATTTGAGTTTTTAATTTTAAATTTTTACAGTTAAAAATTTTTAGAAAATATCGCATCTTATTTTTTATGTTACAGTTAAAAATTCTTAAAAAATATCATATTTTAACTCAAATTAAAAATTTAATTTTACAAAATGAGTGAGACCTAAATCTCTGTACAAGAAAAATACGGCTCAGGGATTCTTCCTGAATGGATGGCGTTCATTGGAGGGGCAGTCTGTCTTAGAAGGGGTACTGTATAGAAGATCGTTGATTTTTGAATACATCAGAATCGATGAAGGGTCGCCGCCACCGCCCCCGCTGCTAAGAGAAGATTCCTCTTGATTTCCCTTTCGATTATGTGTTAGAAGTTATCTTCTCTCTTTTTTTCCCCCCTCAATTAGTGTTGACGTGATATTTGGAAGTATGGAAAAAGTTACTTTCAAACATTCGGAAGTCAAAGCTTGGTGGTGCTACATCGTCTTCATGTTACTATTTGGCCCTGATGCAACAGAGTTAAGTGTGCGTGTATATATATGTATACATATGAAAATTTGTCTATATATGTAAAAATAAATGCATATTTTTTAATAAGATAACTAATTTAGACCTTTTTTTTTTTTTTTTTATGAAAACTCGTATATATATGTATGTATATATATATGAAAATAAATGTATATTTTTCGATAGGATAACTAATTTAGCGATCACATGGAAAAATAAAGCTTACTCCAGAGTTCAAATTAACAAAAGTACTAAAATTGAATGATCTCCACTCTTATTTGGTCCATATATGTCACCTTAAATAGTTTAATGAAAAAACTACGAATTTAGGCAAGAATCGTGAGGTGGAAAACGAAATGATGAGGTTGGCTAGCTTTCAGAAACCTCAAACAAAGTTATCCTTTTCAATAATTTTTTAGCCCCAAAAGAAGAATCAAGTACTTAGCCAAGATGATCAATCTGAATGCATCGTTTGGTGCGATAATCTTTTCCTGAAAACCATAACCACAAAGAAGAAATAAAAGATGCCATTCCTTTCCTGAACACTGATGTAAGAAACGGCCATTACATTCCATTTGAAAAAGGTGGAAACCTGAAAAGGAGACAAACCGGCCAATGTAAGAAACGGACAAAGCATCTACTCAAAACACATCTCATTCGTGTCCGCCGCTAATGACTAATGTGCCCCCCACTAGCTAGTTTAATGTTTGACATGCCAGTTACCCTTAAGCAGATGATAATTTGGATATTAGTCCTAAGAAACATATAAGTTTTTTTAAATTATTATCACTGATGCCTCTTAAACTCTAAGGAGATTTTTAGTTTATTTTTTGAATTTTAAAAATTCTCATTTTACTCTTTGAACTTTAAATTGTTCTAACTTAACCCTTTTTATTATAATTAATGTTAAAAATATAGAATAAAAGATAATAATACAGTCACGTGGTCTTACTGTTTGAAATTATATTAAAAACAAATAGATAAAATCACATGGCCACATTTAACTCTCTATTTTTTCCGTATGATCTAACAAAAACCCTTATAAAAGGCTTAAATAGAACAAATTTAAAATTCACAAGACAAAATAAGAGTTTTTAAAGTTTAGAAACAAAATGGGAGTAACCCAAAATTTAGGGATCACCAATAAAATTAAGCCAAAGTTTTTTTTTTTTTTTTTTCAAAAAAAAAGGAACCAATGCCACTAGGTAAATGGCATAGGGTGAGATGGGGTGGGACTTTTATCGATCTTGTTTTGTATTAAAAATAAATACGAACCAAGATGGTGGATGTAAAATTATGGGGTTTTTTATATCAACATGTTTAAATTGATACTGTTTTGTATCAACTTATCATTTTAGCAATGCAATAGAGGTATTAGTCAAAGGGTATTTTTGTAATTAAAGAAAAGGATACTTTGGGGAAACAAAAATGTCATGGGAAAAAAAACAGAAAAAACAGTAACACATGGAGAAAGCAAACTTGGAAACTATATTGAATTCCCATAATAAAAGAGAGATGTAACCGCATTCTCCCAATATAGAGAGAGACTAGCTATCAGGAAGAACATAGGCATAACTATAACCATAAGCATAAGCATAACAAAAACTCCCTCTATCTCTATAACAATATATCAGATCATCAGAAGCCAAGATCGCCATGGATATCCCACCACAGCTTCTTCAGTACAGATATCACTTTGCGGTAACAATTTCTGTCTCAGTAATCTTTTCCTTACTCTTATATGCAGCTCCTCGGTTTGGAACCATTTTGGCCTATTTCTGGCCTCTGTTTGCGTCAACCATCCTGTTTGTGGTGGCGATTATCGCCTTCAACGGCGTTTCGCAGCTAGCTGTCAAAGCTGATCACGGCGAAAAGGCGGCGGGCGAAGATATTGTAGACTATGTCGCAGGAAGATCAGAACATAATACTGATCATCATGAAGACCGGCAAAATTTTTGAGTGAAAAAAAAAGTAAGAAGACTCAAGTTTATGATGATCAGAGGCTAGATTACTGATTTAGTATTCGCTGATCAATTGTATCATGTTGTCTCTCGGACTGTATTTAATCTGATTATAATATACAGTAGAAATGTGTCATGTGTTATGTTCTAATAAGTTAATTGTAACATTTGGGAAGACAACTTCCTGACAATTTAAGTGTAAAAAATTTGAAATAATGATTGTTAAGGCAGTTGGGTTCTTCACCTTTCACTTTTTGGCTGTTGTAATTTTGTAATTCATGGGACGTCCTATGTAACAAACGCGATTTTGTCGTTGTCGTTGTACCGTATGGTAGTATGGATCATCCGTAAAGAAAAAGGGTAGGGAAATCTAAAACGACATGCACTAGTATAAAAAGTGGATTAGACGATGGTTAATAGCTGCCGTTAAAACATATGACGACAGTTTAAGAACTATCGTCTTATCTAGAGTCGTTAAATGTCTAAAATTTTAGACGAAAGTTTATAACCGTCGTCTAATATGCACGTGAAAGTGCAAAAAAAGTACTTTAAACGATAATTTTTTGATAAAACCGTCGTTAAATGTGTCACTTTTAATGACGGTTTTTATGAAAACTGTCCTTAAAAGTAATACATTTAACAATAGTTTTTTGTAAAAACTGTCCTTAAATGTATCTTAAAAAATTTTTAAAAAAAATCTTATATGAATTTTATTTCCTTTCTGAAACAACAATCTCTTGAAGTATTAATCACAAATTAAAAAAAAAAAACAAAAAAAAAAACAAACTCTCATATCTCATCAAATAACAAAAACAATATAGCGTACAAAAAATACTACAAAATCCTTTAGTTCATAACATTCATCACCAATATACAAATAATACGAATCTAACTAATCCAAAATATTTAAATATAGAAGAAAAACACATATAAGAATTCGAATGAAAATTTGAAATGTAAAAGAGAAAATCAAAGCTAACAAACCCCAAAACTCTTAGGGCATGTTCGGCAACTATGGGCATGTTCTTTTGTATAAAAAAAACTCAAAAAAAAAAAACAACTCAAGTTTCAACTTTATTCAAGTTCACGTTCTTTTAAGTTTCAATTTTATTTAATTTTATTCAACTTTATTCAAATTCTAACTTCAACTCAAGTTATAACTCAAATTCAACTAAAAAATTACGTTCAAATTATACTCTAAAAGAACAACCCATATATTTTTTAGTGAAAAACTAAAAAAAAAAACAACTCGAGTTACAACTTTATTCGAGTTCATGTTCTTTTAAGTTTGAACTCGAGTTTGGGACTAAAACTCGAGTTCAAGTTTCTCTTTCAACTCGAGTTCAGAAACTCAAACTCAAGTTAAGGAACAGTATTTTTTCTATTCTTAAAAATGCTATAACTTTTTCGTTTTAATTCTGATTGAGATGATTTTTTTTTCTATGCGTTGACAACGAAAAGACGAATAAAACTAGACCCATATACCCTATTAAAATTTTTCATCAGCTTTGAGTTTTTATTAAAATACTATCTAAATACAAATTCCAGTTTTGACTTACTCAAACACAAACTCAAAAATATTCTTATCTCAAACCACAACTCAAATGTACACAATCAAATGCAAACCCCATTTAGTTCGCTGATTCGAGTTTTTAATTCGAGTTGAGATATGATGTTATGTGAGAGCTTTTTACTATAGCAAAAAAGTTAGATGTGACTGTTTTTGGGAGCTTTTTACTGTAGTAAAACTCGAATCGGCGAAATGAACGGGACCTCAAGTTACAACTTCAACTCAAGTTATAACTCAAACTCAACTCAAAAACTTAGGCCCCGTTCATTTCGCCGATTCGAGTTTAGAATTCGAGTTTTGCTACAGTAAAAAGCTCTCAGAAACAGTCACATCTAATTTTTTTACTACAGTAAAAAGCTCTCACACAAAATCACATCTCAACTCGAATTACAAACTCGAATCAGCGAAGTGAACAGACCCTTAACTCAAAAATATTTGCAAAATAACAAGCCCTTAAAGTTCTCAGATTCTGGTAGTTGATGATGGAAAACATGGATAGGAGGTGAAGCAATGGCGGAATGCACAATCGTTGGGTCATGGGTAGAGGCAAATGATATTAAGAAAGAGAGAGGGATTTGGAAAAAATATTAAGACTTAGGAGGGGTAGGAATAGAGAGAGAATGACAGAGAGAGAAAGAGAATGGGGAAATGGGGAAGAGAGAGGGATTGAGAGAAATATTTTAGAGTTTGAAGATAAGAGTGAGAGAAAAATGGAAGAGAGTACTCATAATTATAAAAGGAAAAGAGAAATATTTGAAATTTAAGTAAAATAGATGAGCGGGAAAAAGCTGCTTTTTTTTTTAAAAAAAAAAATTTGACATTTAACGACGGTTTATAAAAGGAAAAGAGAAATGTTTGAAATGTTAAATGTTAACATTAGACGACAGTTTTTAAAAAATTGTTGTCTAATGTGCTTGCAATTTTTTATTTTAATTTTTTCTCGTATACATTAGACAATAGTTTTTAAAAACCGTCATTTAATGTCTTAACATTTAATAATGATTTTTTAGAAAACTATGGCTAATGTACTGTACGAATTTTTGAAATACGAAAATCTTCGTTCTGTGATTTTTTCACCACATTAGATAACTGTTTTTTTTTTTTAAATGTTGTTAAATAAGCGTCGTGTAATGTAGAATTTGTAGTAGTGATGGTGACATGCAAGTTGTGTGAGAAAACTCATTTTTTATATGAAACGGCGTATGTTTCCTTGTCGTTCTACGTGGATGCGAAACAACATATTATTTTCAGTTTTAACATTTGGAAAGAGAGATGGAATCAAAACGGCGGAGATTGAAAATGACATCAGTGAAAACATGTTTATTTTCCTCACTTTAGGTTAGACGATGTGTCGTTTTTCAATTTAAAACTACACGTCCATATATTTTCAGCAAATAACGACACCATGGAAAACTTAAGTCAATTCCCTTTCTCTATAAATTAAACCCAACGGTTAGTTTATGTTGTTTATACAAAAAGAAAAAGACATGTCGTTAACTCATGCAGCAAAGGCGACACTGAATAAAAACATGTCGTTTCTTTTTTCTCCGCGACGAAATAGCAACAAAGGCTCATGTTGTTTCCATCTACAAACGACATCAAGAAACTACCTGTCTGTCGCTTCACCCTGGATGTATAAACGACAATGAATTTTCACGGCACGATGTTTGATGTTGGCTTAAAAAGGATCTGAAGTTTTGAATGACTTTAAGTCCCGTTAATTTGATCGATTTAAGTTTAAAATTCAAATTTTATTACAATAAAAAACTCTCAGAAATAATCACTATCTAATTTTTTTATTACATTAAAAAATTCACATAAAGTCATATCTAAACTCAAATTACTAATTTCATATCTTAAACCGATGTATTGTTCCCGTCTTATCTATGACAGCAAGAGATAAAAACAAAAATAACGATTTTGTCGTTTCCCTAACTTTGATGTCGCCATAATAGAACAAACAAATCAAACCGTACTGGTTTAATTGGTGAATCATAAAACAAATTAGATAGTGCCGGATCGAAATGCAAAATTCTTACCATCCTTTTTTTCCCCCTCTCTATCTAGCAGAAAGATTAAGGGATAAAATTATTACCACATTTGCCGGCCACTAATGTGAAAATTGCTTGCAACCGTTGGAAGTGGGCACTCTTAATATGAGCAAGCTGTTCTAGATGCTCAAAGTAATTATTACACCGTATATATGCTCCCAAAAATCAACACTATTATATGTTCACTAAAGTCATTTGGACACTTCTAGATAAGGGCCTAATGAGGGTTCTTTTTTTTTTTTTTTTTTTTTGGTGTGGCTAAAAAAATTATTACATGGTAAAACATATACTCCCATATAATTGTGCACTAACGACCATAGCAAGATCATCACAAGGAAACTAATGTTGCTAGTTCGTTATATGAATTAAACACAAAAGCTCTTTTTCAAGCAAATGATAAAGATATCAACTTAACTAAAAAAAAATGAATTTATAGAAGGTCAGAATATTTAGAAAATAGATTAATAGTTCTAAAAAAAAAAAAAAAAAAAAAAAAAAAAAGAGAAAATTTAAAAAAAAAATTAAAAATTTTAAAAAAAAAAAAAAAAAAAAAAAAAGAAGGAAAGATAATGGTATATATGCTCAGTTGGAGGTCAGGCAGATTGGGAAGATATAAGATCAGATGATGTCAAAGTCCCTGAATGATCAACATCAAGTTCTTTAAAACTTTCCATCAGAACTGATATATCTTCCTGGCTGATTTTGTCCATCTCCTTTAGCTTGTACAGGACAAACTCTGCAGCACTAGAAAAAGCCAATCCTATAAATTAACATTGATGGAATATTTGATAGAAACAAAGGGACAAGTTATGATTATTTTAAGGAGAATTAACTCTCTCTTCTCTGCCTCTCTCCACTCCCACGGGCACACACATACACGGCAGAGAAGAGAGAGTTCAAGAACTCTTCAAACCCCTTTAATTTTTCAGGTCATTCAAGCACCAATTCCGGCCGGTCTTAAACGTTTTCCGGCAACCATGAACGACCCCATTCTTATGCCATGGGGAGGAGGTAATCCTAAAATCATAGACTTTCTATATGCTTCAAAATCCATATGACAATGTATTTTTGGGCTTGATTATTGTTTAATCTCATTTATGAGTATTGAGAGCCCATTATTTCTAACAATTGGGATGAGTTTCTTTAATTTATTATATTTTGTAAATCTGATACGATGATCTAATAGTTTGTAATTATGTTTGACGAACAAAGTTCTATGTCCTACCCTACTATAAAATTGTCCTATTTTTTACTTTTAATCTATTTGTGAATAGTACTCTTACCTTACAACTTTGTCATGATCAAGATCTGCAGCCTCAAGATCTGAGCTTGTCAGCTTCCTAGTAAGAATCCATTTCACCAGTGATCTTTGCCTGCTCTCAGTGTACAATTCAGCAAGGTAGAGAAATAACTGAGCCAAGCAAATTGTACTCCCCAATATCCAGAAAACAGCAAAAATTCGACCAACCCCAGTTGAGAAGCTCTCATCCCCATACCCCAGAGTGGTAATAGTGGAACAAACGCAGTAAAAGGCATCCATTACTTGAAGATCTTCAACTGAACATAAGAAGACAGTTCCCACAATGACAAGCACAAAAAGAATAACCGCTGATGTACCGAATTTGTACTTCACTTTGTGTGTTTCGACCTCTTTAAGAAGCTCAGTTGGACAGACGTCATTTTCGCGCATAATGTGCATGGCTCTAACCAAGAGAAGTTCCTGCTTTTCTACTATGTAATCAGCTGCTTTACCAAGAATTAGTCCACCAAGAGCCAAGCCTGTGAAGACATAAGCGCATGCTAGTAATTTTGCCAACACGGTATTAGGCACAAGGTCACCGTATCCGACGGTGGTCATTGTCACGACGCAGAAGTACACGGCGTCGAGGATTCCATTTGTTTTTCGACCGCTGATTTGATTCCTGACGAGGTAGAAACAAAGGGTTCCTCCGCCGAGGTAGATGGCCAGCAAGATCATGACTTGGTTTAGACTAAACTGTTGTTTTGCAGCCATATCTGGTGTGTCATAATATTCACGATTTCCATTTTGCTCTTGGCGGTTAGTAGAAGAAGTGATTGATTGGCGGTTTCTTCTTCTCTGAAGAGTGGTCTTTTCACTGCCTTGAAAAGGATCTGGCGCTTCTGAAAGCAAGGCTTCTTTAGCCTCATGATCAGTACCCATTGGAGCATTAAAGTAAAGGATCTAGTCTGATTTCTTGCTAGGACCTGCTGAATTTAAATATGGTCAATGAGATTCACATTGAGTTAATGATCATATAACTAGATAGATCATGATAAGTACAGTTAGCTTACTAGTTCATTCTAAAATTTTAGTTTTATTATATAAGGCGGGTCAACAATAATATTATATTCTAATGCTTTTTATTTACATATGAGGTTAGACCATATAAAGTACTCAACATATATAAGCCAATCAAAAGAGGGCGACAGAAACAATAGATCTACACATGCCAAATTATGAAATTGCAATTTGAAAAATTCGAACCCAGAACCGCATGTTTGGATATCATTTTAGTTTGGGATATTTACCCTTTTATACCTTATGTTTTGAATTTATTCAAAAACTATACATTTAATTTTTAATCTCATCAAATGTATACCTTTAAATTAGATTTAATAGTTAAATTTATATATTTTCACAGCCAACTATTAATTTAAACCTTAGAAATACTTAAAATACCCTTGAATAAAAAAAATAGAAAAAGAAAAAAACTAAAAAAAAAAACCTTAAACTTACAATTTTGACATCAAAAATATACAAAATACCATTGAAATGAATTTTTTTTGTGTTTTAAATTTTTATTGTTTGTAATATCGGAAGGTTTTAGTTTTTTTTCTATCTTTTTTAGGGATAGTTTGGTCATTTTAAAGGTTAAAATCAATTATTAACCGAAATAAAGTATAAATTCGTATATTAAATCTAATTTAAAAGTATACATTTAATGAGATTAAAAATTAAAAATATAAATTTTAAAAAAATCTAAAATACAGCTATAAAAATGTAAATATCCCTTTTTAGTTTACTAGTTAGTATTTTATTCTACCAATAAGTAGGTTCTACCTGATAACCATCAGATCAATTGCGATGATTCTTAGAAATGAATTCAAACAAATTGATAACACTGAGACGGGATTTCAGGCCTCTAATTTAATTGTTAGATTGAAAGAGTATTTAGCTATATTTAGTTTGCTAATCTGTCTCAAGTCAAATCTGCAATACTTTTATCTCGTTCCTTTAACAATGAATCTGTCTTTTTTTCGATATCCACCGACCATTAGCACTAATTCCAAGAACTTGAATCAATTCTATGTCCTTCAAGCTTGCCTGCTTTTATCATATTATTATAGTATTTTTTTTATATATTTTTCTCACATATACAATTTAAAATATGATTTAAATTGTGCAAATGAACATTTAATGCACATGTTATTTAACGCATTTGTAGTAGTAATCTCTAAAAACACGCTTAAACTTAAAGCGACTCAATTTAATGACATTACACAACCAAGCTGTTCCAAATTCTAATGGCAATTAAAGGCATAATAAACATTTTCTTTCGGCCGTGTCCTTGCTGTTTAAGGATTTTATAGGCCAAGACTAATTAATCCCAGGAATTAAAAAGAACTTAACTTACTTGCAACCCCAATGAAAGTACTTCCTCTATATAGATCTACATTCCATTGAGTAAGATATCAGAAACAATTTAAACATGCACAAACAACTGCTTACACGCAATATTTATATGCGTATGTGTGTATGTATGTTTACAAGCCAAGCAGTACAAATGAAATTATGTAAAAGGTAAGAGAAAAGTACCGTTCTATGGCAGATACAAACAGAAACGGAAGGTTGTTACTTGTCAAGGATATATCAATCTTTATTGGATGTAAAATGAAAATACTACTGCTTATATGGAAACAGATTTTTGCAACAAAAAAAAAAAAAAAAAAAAAAAAAGCCAGAGAGAGAGGAAGAAAATGCAGAGAGAAAGAAGACGAATGAAGGGACCAACATATTATACATATACTAAAAAAAAATGACAGCTTTTACTGTTTATGTCTTTTCTGTTTTACCCCAATTTTTCAGGGAGATTGAGAAAAATACGTTAAGATTTGAGATGAATTAAAATTAATAGATTAATAATTTATAAAAGTTAATAAATATGTTAAATTATTATTTTCGTTCATAATTTATTTAGTTATGAATCATAACTTAATAAGTTATTATCTATTATTCATGATTTTTATCCATAATTGTCTAATTATGAACTATAACTTAATAAATTTATCCATAACTTATCTGATTATAAATCATAACTTAATAAGTTATAATCTATTAATTTCTATAACTAAAAATTAATCCATATATTTTTTAAAACTTTTCATATTTACCTATTTCATACTATTTCTATTCATCCACTAACACTTCGGAAGAGGCCCACAGTCGCAGAACATCACCACGTGTCACTTCGATATCTTAAGCTTGAAGATGGTCCAACACGTCTCGTATGACCTAAAAGCAAGCAATGACCACTTCCATTGCTTCCAAATGGCTATAGTTTTCACCGCTGAAGGTGCTTTGGGTGTTAGTTGACCTCCACGTCGCCCAATTGCAACATACAAATGCAGTTTTTTTTTTTAAGGTAAATTATATTATAAAACACATAAATAAAAATATTAATGATGATATAAATGACTTCGTAATACAAACATAATTTAATCTTAATTATTTACTGATTCCATCACTTACAATAAAAACAGGAAAAGAGAAAAATACGCACTAAGCTCCTATAACGAGAGACTAACATTAAGAACAAACACATAAATAGTTCTTTGAAAACACACTTATAAAATTAATAGACAACTGAGTTTAAGACACCTGTAAACCAGAGATCACTCATAATACCACTGAGAAACACGTTAAGCGGATGTAACATAACAAAATAATCAGTCGAGAAACCACCTCCATCATTAAAAACTTAAAATAAACACGTGAAAAGAAGATACAAACTTAAACAGTAAAAATTAAAATATCGTTCATTTTATCGATTTAAATTTTTAATTTTAAATTTTTACATTAAAAAATTTTTAAAAAATATCACATTTAACTTTTTTTATTACAATAAAAATTTTTAAAAAATATCACATCTCAACTTAAATTGAAAACTCAAATCCACTTCTAAATTATTGTTATTCGATATAACCATCTACCACAAGATGGTGATGAAAACTCGACACCACAGTAAAAAACCCGGAAACAAGGCAGCACACAAGGTCAAAGAAGCCAACAAAAACAGACCTGAACTGAACAATATACAGAGTCACCACAGCCAAAGCACCATCAAGTTGTCTCGTGTAGCCACCCATGGCCGTCGACGGCCAACCCTCTCAACATGCTCCCTCCAAGAGAGTCGCCGCACCTTGAGAGCCCGAACTCTTGAAGACGGCCATCCTCTCGAAAACTCACGCATCGTAAGTCACCGCCGACCACAAAGGAATCCCATTCAAGCCCAATAAAATGACAATAAACTTTTTTTCTAAACCCCTGTTTTTCAACTCAGCACCCAAAAAAAAAAGAATAAAAAAAAAACCTATTGCAAATATAGTCTAATATGTCCCCCCCCCCCCCCCCCCAAAAAAAAAAAAAAAAAAAAAAAAAAAAAAACCACCACTCTTGATCTACTCCGACGAGAGGGAAAAAGCCCAAAGGCTGCAGCGCCATCAGAAGTCCAACTCTCCCGATCGAGACAGACAAATGTGTTTTTTATTTTTTATTTTTACTGCAGAAGATAAAATTCATCAGATATTTGGCCAGCTTCTACGGGGTAAGGGACCTGTACTATACTCATTTTGTTTTCTTTCTCACTCTAGTCTATACAACAAAGTTGGCCAACGTCATTTTGAATAAAGTAAGTTTAAAAAGAAAAATTCACGTTTTACGGATTACAAGAGAGATTTTTGAGTTTCTCTAGTACACAAAAAAGTGTAAAGTGAAATTTAGCTTAAATAAAAGGGTTATTTTATATATTTTTTTCTCAAAATCTAACACTTTCTTTGATCATCAATAATCTCACGAAAGCCCGCCTTCACAACCTTGCTAGTTGCACCAGATGATGCATCGAGATTCTTGGGTTGGGCCTTGTTTTCCTAGCTCAACAATCTCACATAATAACTGAGCCCAGAAGACCATCACACAATAAAAAAAAACGTAATCTTCATAAAGAGTATACTGTTAAAAAGTCAAAATTTTATTCTTAATTTATAATTTTTTAATTAAGTAAAATTACACTAACAAAAAAATATTTATTAAAAATTAAAAATAAAGGAACAACTCACCCTTAATGATAAATCTCCATTTTTTTCATTAACAAAAGGTCTATTAAGAAAAGGGCCAGCCATCATATCAACACGTGTTCAAAAGTTTATTAGCAAAAATTAATAATATTGAGTAATTTGGTAATATTTTTTTTTTTTAAAAATAAAAAATTTATCTTTGAGAGTACATGAGTTTCGATCTTTATTTTTATAACTCTTGATAAATATTCTTTTATTAGTGTAATTATTTAACTAAAAAATTATAAATAAAAAATAAATAGTGAAAATCTCGTTTCATATATTTTTAAAAAATATTTGTTAAAATTACCCTATTTTTTTAACTATTTTACTTCTTAAAACTAAAATTGATAAATTATTTCTGAAATTTCACATGAAGAATCATGTGCGAATCGTAAAAATAATTACATTAAATACAAAATATTATAGTTATTGTTGTTAAAAACCATTTGAAATTGAACATTTTTATTTTAGCTAATTATTTCTAAAATAATTCAACTTTTTATCCGCTTAAAATGTGATTATCTTTGAGAAAATTTCAAAGTCATTGACTAATTTATTTTTAAGGACCAAAACCGACAAAATATCAAAGTTTAAGGATTAATTTTTAGAGACTAAAGTGACAGCAGTGCTAATAACTGAAGGACTACCTAGCAAATAACCTTGTGTTTAATTTGTGAAATTTTTCGTAGGAGAGGGAAAATAGAAAACACCAAAACAGGGGCACGCAGGCAGTGGAGGAAGAAGCACCAGGAAGAACAAGGGTTTAAGCGCCATCTCTCTCTCTTCCACCGGTTCGTGTTTCTTTCAGCTTCCAAATCTCGCTCTCTTAAACCCTCTCAACCCCAATTACTCCAAAATTGTTCTTTTCAAATTTCCAGGTTCAACTTTCTGCACAATTTTCTGAACTCCTCACAGCTTTATATCATGTTTCTTTGCAGATTGTTTAATGTCAGCTAGATTGACCCATTTGTATTTTTCTTTCAAATTTCGTTTCTTTTTTGCAATTAAGCGTTTTTACCATCAGCTAGCTTCCTGGGTCACGTCAAAATCTTAACTTGAGTAGCTTCAGTTTGGTCTATAATAGTTTAGAAACTTAGAATCCAAGTGCTAATTGATGACATCAGTACCGTCGAAGAACATATGGATTCGGAGACAACAATGCCCATGTGGGGATTGGAAATGTTACGTGACATACGAGGGAGATGCTGAAGAGACTTCCATAGCTTCTCAATTGGTGAAAAATGACACCACGCCTTCAGAATCTATGGTTGCCCCTTATGTTGGAATGGTTTTCAAGAATGATAATGATGCGTTCGAGTATTACGGGAATTTCGCGAGAAAGAATGGTTTTTCGATTAGGAAAGAGCGGTCGAGGCTTAGCCCGCAATTAGGCATTTACAAACGTGATTTTGTTTGTTACCGTTCTGGGTTTGCTCCTGTAAAGAAGAAGCCTGCGGGGGAACACCATAGGGATAGGAAGTCGGTTAGGTGCGGATGTGATGCCAAGATGTACTTGTCCAAGGAGGTTGTTGATGGGGTTTCTCAATGGTTTGTTGTGCAATTCAGTAATGTTCATAACCATGAACTTCTGGAAGATGATCAAGTTCGTCTCCTTCCGGCGTATAGAAAGATTCACGAGGCGGATCAAGAACGGATACTTTTACTCTCTAAAGCTGGGTTTCCCATACATCGCATTGTGAAGGTGCTGGAGTTGGAAAAGGGGATTCAAGGTGGGCCACTGCCCTTTTTGGAGAGGGATGTTAGAAATTTCGTTCAAAATCGTAAGAGGATTGTTCAAGAAAACGATGCCTTGCTAACTGAGAAGAGAGAAAACGACACAATGGAACTCCTTGAAGCATGCAAAGCGACGAAAGAGGCAGATGAAAATTTTGTTTATGACTTTACAGTTGATGATAATGATAAAGTTGAGAATATTGCGTGGTCCTATGGTGATTCGATCCATGCTAACCTGTTTGGTGATGTAGTGTATTTCGACACTTCATATCGATCAATCACGTACGGAATGCTTTTTGGAGCATGGCTTGGCATTGACAGCAATGGGAGAGTCATCTTCTTTGGTTGTGTTCTACTGCAAGATGAAACATCCCGTTCCTTCTCGTGGGCTTTACAGGTTTACCATCAGTATCCTCAATAGTGATTTTAGTTGTGTCTTCATATAGCGTCTCTTACAATGCTTTTACCTTTGCATACAGACTTTTGTTCGTTTCATGAGAGGAAGATGTCCACAAACAATTATAACTGATCTTGATCCTGGGCTTAGGGATGCCATTCGGACTGACTTACCCGCCACAAACCATGTCATCTCCATATGGAATATTCTTTCCAAGGTCTCCAGTTGGTTCTCGCAGCCACTCGGATCTCGTTTTGCAGAGTTTAAATCCGAGTTCGACGCATTATGTCGGCTGGAAGGTACAGAGGAGTTTGAACTTCAATGGAATCAAATGGTTTCAGTGTTTGGACTTGGTACAGAGAAACATATCGACTTGCTCTATTCATTTCGGGCATCTTGGACACCATGCTATACAAGAGGATACTTGCTTGCTCAAATGGCAACGACTGCATACTCGAAATCCGTTGACGCATTCCTGAAGGGTGTTTTCAATGCTCAAACATGTTTACGTACCTTCTTTGAGCAGGTATTTGGTGAATATCCTTTTCCCATTAGTTTCTTAACTAATGTCTCTTTCGATTTTTTGCTGATAGTATCTTATGCTTAAACCCTATCAGGTCGGTATTTCTGCTCATTTTCCAAATCAGGCACGTCCAGAGATGCAGTACATGTATGCTAAGACATGCATACCCATTGAAGAGCACGCCCGGAGTATTCTTACACCTTTTGCTTTCAATGCTTTTCAACATGAATGCCATCTGGCATTGCAATATGCAACCTCCGAAATGGCTAATGGGTCATACCTTGTGCGCCACTTCAAGAAGATTGACGGCGAGCGTCTTGTAATATGGATTCCAGAAGATGAACAGATCCACTGCTCCTGTAAAGAGTTTGAATCTTCAGGAATACTATGCAGACATGCTCTGCGAGTGTTCATAGTAAAGAACTACTTCCAGCTTCCCGAAAAATACTATTTGAATAGGTGGAGAAGAGAAAGTTCTCTGGTCTTTTATGATGAAAACGGTACTGAACATAGCAATGATGAATGGTTTCAAGAATACCAGTGTCTTACCGAAGGTCTGTTTGCAGAATCGTCGATTACCAAGTTGCGTTCCGATCATGCTCGTACGGAACTGACAAAAGAACTTGCAAGAATCTTGAATGAGGTTAGACATATGCCAGAGAGTGAAGGAGTGGCAATGGATGTGACGCTGTCACCTACTGGTTGAATTTAAAGTGGTTTGCTGCCTTGGTGCTTAATGCTTTATGTGGTAGCAAATGCAGCCACTGCTTTGATCTGCTAATCTATTAGCCAAGTGAAGTATATAGGATCAGAAGGTGATAAAGGGATAAAATGGTTTGCATTTCTTTTATCTTCCTATGGTGGATGATAAAAATTAAGCATTTTGAGACGGGCCAACGATAACAATCTTTATGAGTTTATGACTCCCTGAATGAAGAATAACAAGATTCTGCGTCAAAAGCGGACAAGGGAAAAGGAAACACTCTGGATGTGTTGTATGTGTATAATGTTGTCACTGTTTTTTTATATAATGAATCAGAGTTTTCTGCGTTATTACGCTCTTGTTTCATAATTTATGGCAACTTCGAGGAGTTGCTTTCATGACTGATTGCCTACTTTAGTCAGGTACAGCCTCTTTATGCCAAAGTATATAATGTAAATTCTTCTATACTGGAAATTTCAATGGAACTTTTTGCATTTAGACCAATGTATCTTTGACAATAAGAGAAGGAGCAGGCTTCCGTTAATATTTGTTTACATCTTTGCATCTTTATTGTGGTTAAGGTCTATCACATTGTCATTTTAATTCAGCAGGATCTCTATATAATTATTGCGTGGTTCTCTATATATAGCAGTTTATGTATCACAAAACAGTCTTGGGAAATGCCAATAGCCAAGTTTCATCTCAAATGTTGGTCATGTTTTTTTTCGCTGATTCGAGTTTAGAATTCGAGTTTTGTTATAATAAAAAACTCTCATAAACAGTCATATCTAACTTTTTTACTACAGTAAAAAGCTCTCACACAATATCAAATCTCAACTCAAATTAACGAACCGAACGGGCTAAGTGTACTATATAACATACATTGCAACTGGATTGTGTTCTCTCAAAAATTAAGCAGTTCACATGAGAATAAATCCTTCTTCGTGACCCTTCTTGATTCTTGAAGTGTTTCAAGTTCCGGAAATGCTTATAGATTTCTCTGACGGGTATTTTATCTGAACATACTATTATTTCTTTTATCATTATTATATATATGTATATATATATATTTTTTCACAGGTCTGATTGCAGAATAATCTCAGGTGGGAATTGTTACACGCATGAATTTCTTCTCTCTCTATCTCTCTCTCTCTTTCTTTTTTCTTTTTTTTTTGTTCTCTCTTTATTTTCTTGAAATGCATTTTTGGCTAGGAAGCCTTTGCTGTCTCATGCACTCACGTGGCTAAAGACCTCAAATTGATTGCAGCTTTTAACTTGCAGTTGCAGGTTTTATCTGACGTGTTCACTTTACGGATTTAAATTTTTAATTTGAATTGAGATATGATATTTTTTGAGAATTTTTTACTGTAACAGAAAAAATTAAATGTGATATTTTTTAAAAAAAATTTACTGTAAAAATTTAAAATAAAAAATTATAATCGGTGAAATAAACGAGACTTTAATCTTCGATTCGATGGTTTCAACTTTTGATAATCTGGACCCACATACACATGCCTCATTTGGACTTCACGTTGGGCTGCAAAGAAAAGTTGTACTTATCCTCATACGGTCAGAATGCTGTATTACAATTATTTCTTAATGTTTGATTGATACACACTTTAGAATGATCTTTGAGACTCTACTGAAAATATGGACAATCCACTTGGTACTCACATCCTTGTCTCCTCTTGCACACGGCAATGAACAGGGACTAACAAATCTGGGGTCCTTCTAGATCTCTCCATCCATAACCAGTTTGTCATTGCGGGTAATGATTTGGCATTTTAATGGATACTGATATGGGGGGCCCCACGATTGGAGAGGAATGTGGCCCCATTTGTGATGATATTTTAACATGTAACATTTAAAATAATGGCTATGGAAGTGAAAGCTTCATAATTGTAGCCACATGAGCGCGGAGAAATTTGCCATGAAAGATTGTTATCCTCGGTTTTCTTTGCGCATGGTTTTTAACGTTATATCTAATTAAAATTACATCAAATGAAAAAAAAAAATTACAAAATTAACATGATTTGATGTACACCATCTTACGGTCTGAAAACAGAGACCTAATACCTCATTGCAAAATTCTCCTTTTTTAGTTTGGGAAAAACAAGATAAAATGTGCCCTCATGGTTCCACTCTGTTTTCCCTTTGATGTATTCATTGTAAAATTGACTGTTATGACTTGTGATCAGGTCTATATATTGGCTTTTCGGGACGGGCGGGCATAAAAACGAAAGTATGTATATAGTTTTGAAAGTATATATAGTATATATATTTAAAAATTTTAATTTAATGTTTAAAATTTAATTTTTTTATAAAAAAATACTGCAATAAAATTAATAATTTAAATTTAAATACATAAAATAAAGGCACTAAGAAACTGTGATAACAAAGAAAAGATTTTCTCCTCTAAGCAGTCAACATAGAGTTAGAATCTTTCGTTCTCTTTTACCTATTTCGATGGACCGAATTGATATTTTTGTGGCTCTTCTACAATAGTTTAATCCAAGTCCAATCAATCAAAAGTGTGTTTTCTTGTGTCTGGTGAGATTATTGTCCGTTTATTTTACCGATTTAAATTTAAAATTTAAGTTTTGTTATAATAAAAAGTTTTAAAAAATAATCACATTTAACTTTTTTACGACAGTAAAAAATTTTCACATAAAATTACATCTCAACTCGAATTAAAAATTTAAATCAACAAACTAAACAAATCATTATTCATCACCGAAATGTATGGCTTTATAAAATAATAATAATAATAAAACTATGGAGATTTTTGTGGGCAGAGTACAGAAAATTACATTACTAATGAGGCACAGTTGTTAATTATGATATCATCATAATTAATACAATAAATCAATAAAACTAGATAAATACATGAAAAATTCAGAAGTGTGTCCTATAAAATCTTAACAAAGTGTTTTTCATACTCTGTCGGAGAATTCTACTTTTAAATCAGCTTTTTTTAAAAAGGTTGTTTTAAACGCCCTTTTTCGGAAGACACGTTGATTACTTTTGCACATAGAACCCGTTCAAACTATTCCAGATTGCTTACTTTTGAGGCTCCAAATTACAGATTGCCCCCATAACAAAATTTTTAAAAAAAAAGTTAACAGATTGCTAACTAAAATGACTTTAACACAGAAAGTTTAATTGATAGATTTAAAATTATAATTTAGAATTATTTTTAATTTATGTGTATTTTATATGAAAAAAAATACTATAATCAGTCACAAATTATAATTCAAACCATAACATAAATTCTTAAACCAAACGCACTCCTAAAATTCTACTCACAGTCACATCTAATGAACGCGACCTTTCATTTTTCCTATTATTTATACGAGTGGAATTAGTGCTTCATATCATAATGCTCAGAAAAATGTCTGAGCACTCTTCCATCATTCAAAAATCATGCAACAAGCATCACAAATCTAGCTCAATATTATTTATTAACCAAAGAAGAGAGAGATTTCAGATTTATTTTTTATTTTTATTTTTATTTTTACTATTTTTCTTAGGAAAGCTTGGACCCATAAGTTGGTTGTGACATTGGGAACTTGTCGTGAAGGATGGTTTCATCAAATCACCTGATGAAATTGCAAGGAAAGACATCATGACTAACAATAATTAATAGAGAGCTTTTACAGTGAAACTCTTTAAAAATCTACCGGTGAATTAAATTTTTAACAATTAATTTTATATAAATTCGTATTAAAAATTTACAACGCGTCAAGTAAAATTAATCTCATAATAATATTAATAATATTAGCGGCTTGACAATTGGCAATAGCCCCTTTCTCCAAGTTCCACGTACGCCATAATGCTATGGTCAACGAATCCATTTATTAACTAACATTTGATGACAAGTATCGACCGAGTACTTCAGATCAAAAACAAGTATCGACCGACTACAAAACAAAGTCCATATTTTTCATTCAAAAAATTAAGATATCGTTCATTTTATCGATTTAAATTTAAAATTAATAAAATATTTTTAAAAACAATCACATTTAATATTTTTACTATAGTAAAAAGCTCTCACATAAAGTTACATTTCAACTCAAATTAAAAATTTAAATCAGCGAACTAAACGGATCCTAAAAAATAAAATAGATTTTTTGGTGTGCCTATCCACAACTTATTTTATTATTTTCTGTCCTCACTTGTTAGTACTTAATTCTAAATTATCTACCTAGATCACTCGTACTTTCCAGTATTTTCCACAAAACTCAGGTCATAAATCACATTAATTAAGTTAACAAAACAATATTAACGACTGGTCTTCTTTCATTTCTTCGGGAATATCCTAATGTACGTACTCTTATACACACGCTAATTAAAGTTTCTGATGATAAATCTTTACTTATCTGGTTCTGAATCTGAGAATCTCTCATAGACCCTTTTGCTCTCTCAATTCTCTCACTCTCTTCTTCCTCCGACTAGCCTCCTATATCTCTCTCTAAAACCAGAAAACAATATGAGAGAAAAGAAAAAACTTTACTTACTCGTAATCTTAATTTGGTATTTGTTAGGACCATAGACTCTACTATAAGAAAGTGGGTTACTACACTCATTAAGTTAACATTTTTAAGATTAATTTTTTAAGTTAGAATCTCAGGGCCCGTTCAGTTCGTTGATTCGAGTTTTTAATTCGAATTGAGATGTGACTTTATGTGAGAGCTTTTTACTGTAGCAAAAAAGTTAGATGTGACTGTTTCTGAGAGCTTTTTTACTGTAGCAAAACTCGAATTCTAAACTCGAATCAGTGAAATGAACAAGGCCAATCTCTCATGGTGGAGTTCATGGTCTTAATAAGTGGTATTAGAGTTAAGGCCGGCAATATGGGTCATGACACAACGACACGACTCGAAAACGACACAAATTTTACGGGTTAGGGTTGAGAAAAAAAAGGTTCGGGTCAGAATCGGGTCGACCTGAAATTGACACGAAAAATACGGGTCAATTCGGGTTGGAACCGCCTAACCTGAACACGACACGAAACTCGTAAAAAACTAAAAAATACATATATTTTTCATTTCATATTTTAAATCTTTTTATGAACTTGAGATATCATGATAGATATACTCACAATCTTATACTATTATTTGCTTAATTTCAATGGATGTTATTGTAATTTAGTGTGTTATGAATTTTAAGTTATTTCTAATATGTAAAAAACTAAATAAAAGTATACAATATTCGTGTCAATTTCGAGTTCACGGGTCAATTTCGTGTCACGGGTCATTTTCAGGTCGTGTCGTGTCAACTCGTAAAGTGATCGTGTCGTGTTCGTGTTGCGGTTTGTAAAAAATTTTGTGTCACGGGTCGTGTTCGGGTTGACTGTAAATTTAAAAAAAACGATCAAAACACGACACGAACATGACATGTGACACGAATTGCCACCCCTAATCAGAGTCAATAGTTCGTATGAGTCAAGTGATCACACTCAATTACAGTTCTCGCGTTGCCTCTCGTGGAGAGTTGATGTTCTCATAGGTACGCGTATGGTGGAGTATTTGTTAGACTCGCATGGTTTCAGCTCTCTTTCTCATGTTTAAGTTGGCACCCGTTTAGAGTGTAATGCTTGAATGTGCCGGCTACTTAAAACTTTAATTTGAAAAGAAGCCCAATGAACATACACATGAGGAAAAAAATATTGAAAAAAATACATGTTTGTATTGTCTTACATGAAAAGTGAATGAGAATGTGAAGTTATTTATATATATAGAATGATCTAATACTTAATAAGTTAATCTTTTAAATCAAATTAAACTCTCAGGACCCGTTTAATTCGCTGATTCAAATTTTTAATTCGAGTTGAGATGTGACTTTATGTGAGTTTTTTACTGTAGCAAAAAAGTTAGATGTGATTATTTCTAAGAGTTTTTAACTGTAATAAAACTCAAATTTTAAACTCAACTCGATAAAATAAATAGGACTTTAATGTGTTAAATCAATTTTACATATAGGGTTTCCCAAATAGTATTTATTGCACGAGTTGTACAACTAATCACCGACTCTGTAACCAAAACAGAAAATACACAGTAAATCTAAATTTGTCACGTCAGAGAAGAACACATTAGTTGTATTGCCACCTGATCTTCAATTGCCACGTCACCCATAGAGATCAGTCTCAACTCTCAATAGATTTAATCAAGAAGAAGTAATACTAGTACTAAAAAAGCAGATCTAACATGAAAATGATACAAGTTAACACTCGAAAAGGACAAGACTTAATACATCTGCATCTTTTTAAAGACCAAAACAGACTGCGTTATATATATCCACTAAAATTATATTAACATTAATTATAATTAGTTAAGCCGTGATTAGTTGCTGTTGAGCTTGAATTCTAAGTTCCTCCTTCATTTTCCTTATGAATTCTTCAAACTTCTTGTTCAGTTCGTCTGTACTAATCGTGAGCTCTTCATCTGCTGCACTTTCTGTTGCCTCCTCCACTTCTTCGGCCTCTTCTTCCTTGCTCGAAAACCGGCCATTGTCTTCTTCATCCGAGTCGTTTTCGTTCTCTAAGTCTTCGGAGTTATCTTGCTCTTCCTGTTCTTCATGATCAGCTTCTTGGTCTTCTACAGTTTCTTGTTCTTTTCCCTCTTCATCGACAAAAGAGACACCGACCGGAGAAGTAATGCTACTCTCCGGAGAAAGTGTTTGCTCTTCTGAAACAACGTCAATTGCGTCTAACTTTGGAACTGCGCCGGAGAATTTGCCGCCGAGAACTGTCTCATCCGAATAAGAGTAGAGGCTCCGAGAACTCGAGCTTTTCGCGAGGAAAGCGAGGATTCCGTTGCAGATGATGAAGATGTACTTCCTCTCAAGAGTGTGAACAAGGGAATAAGGGAAGAAGAAAACGCCAGGGTAATAGAAAAAGAACAAGGACAAAAGAGAGACTGAGATAACAACCTGCAAAGTCCTTCTCAAGAAATGGTCGTACTTGTCAATTTTTGCAGCATGATCTAGGAGCTTCTGGTTTTGGTCCATTATTTTGGTGTTCCTTGTTGCTGCCAAAGCAATAGAGAAGCTTTCTTTAGTGGGCAGAAAATTATGTATTGGAGAATGGCCTTAGAAGTTTAAGGGTGCTTTGTTATACTTGTATTGTTGGTGGTTCTTGGATTGTTTTCTTTGGAGTGAACAAGTTTCCCCCTATTTATACGAGTCCTACGAGTGCCATGCTCTTGATAGGGCACTAAACAAAATTACCAAGTTGACCTTTGTGATTGTATAGCAAATGGGCAGGAAAAAACTATTGGATCTTTCCAAACAATTATGGGAAGAAACCTAAGTCAGGCTAATTTTCCTTTATATGGGACACTTCTGAAAAGCATCAAAACGTAAACGATGGAGATATGCTGTTAAAAAATGGTTATTTTTTCTTTTTTTTTTTTTTAAAAAGGAGGTTCTTTGAAGTTTCAAGCTACACACCACTGTTCTGTGCTTATAACACGGGAAAAGTGGTCTTTTTGTTCACCCCCCCCATAGAGGTCAAGAATTGAAAGACTTTCTTTGAATATCGAAGAATTATTGTGGACCCATTATTTGATTATTTAAATGGCCCACCACCATCAAATTAGTGACTCATATTGAAGCAACATCATTTCTCGCTTTTTTTTTTTTTTATAAATATTTTGATGAATTTTGTCTTTGTTTTCTTCTCCTTTTCTTTTACAGGCAGAAAGTGCTCTTCTTTTTGTCTTCAGGGCCATATGATAATAGCGTAATCTAGATATTTTGCAAGACTCGAAAGTAGAAACTCAGAGCCACGTATCATCTCTATATCTTTCACCCTATGCACCATGGTGCTTCTAAATAAAATAAAGAAGTAAAACAATTTGGAAACTTAGAGCTCCTCAATCAAAGGATCGATTCGAATTTGCTATCTGTGATAAGAGAGCAGAAGAAGAAAAAGGAAGCAGGAGGAAAACAACTATTTATGTGTACAATGACTTGTGGTTGCAATTTGCACCCTGACTTTTTTCCTTGAAGCAGAAATAGTAATAATAATAGTGAAAAATAATGATTGTGTTTGGAATTATTTTTTTCACGTTTTTTGAGAAAAAAATAAAAACAGAAGAGAAACGTCGTTTGACAGAAGTAAAGACAAAAAATAAAAATAAAAATGATCTTTTAGTTTAGTGTAAAATGTGAGAGAAATAAAAAACAACAGCGCGTTTGGAACTCGTTCTAAAATGATTTTATTTTTTGTATGAAAATGAAAATGAAAACGTTTTCAATCTCAGACAGAAATTATTTTTAAAAATGCATTTAGTAGTTTTATTAAGAGATTGTTTTTAATATAAAAAAACTCATTAATATATATATATATATATATATCTCTCTCTCAGCTCGAAAGAGGAGAAAACGAAAATAAAAAATGAAAAACGACTAAAAGTCATTTTTCATTTCTCTCATTTTACACTAAACCAAAAAATCGTTTTCATTTCCATTGTTTGTCTTTATTACGCCAAATACCGTTTTAAAAACATTTTCATTTTTCTTTCTCAAAAAACGTGAAAAATAAAAACGGGATCAATTTCAAACACGGCCGACTTTTAGTCATTTTTCATTTTTTGTGTCCGTTTTCTCATCTCTTAAGTAGAGAGAGAGAGACATTAATGAAGTTTTTTGATACTAAAAATAATCTCTTTGTGACGACCCTCCTCAGTGGCTGACACTGTAGCTGAATTTTAACTTGTACTTACTGAAATTTCTTAAAATTTGCAGAACATTTTTTTTAAAGTCTTATAGTAGACATATGTTACGAATTGTTTTCTTGATCAAAATATTCAAACCTTAACATATTTGTTTCTCAAAGCATATAGAGATATCTATATGTATATACTTACTCCGTAAGTCTTGCTTACTAACAGCCATAATCCACAAAACCATTTAACATATAGTTTTAGAATCATAATTAGCAAAACTATTTATAACGTAAAACTGATTGTGAAAATATTTGCGAGCGGTATCCATTCCCCGATCTCTACATCGTTCGTCCATTCACGGTCACTCCATCAAGTATTATATGCAAGTTGCTTACCTACAGTATAAATATTCTATGATGAACTTTCGCTCAGCAAGTAGGAACTATCTCTCGCAAAATAACTGTAAGTTCACATGAATAAATATGCATGAGCTAATTATGCTTAATTATGATCATGTCTTATTAAATTCTTATCATATGATCTTATCTTACTTACTTATGGGCCCGAGTGCTCGTACCACTTGCGCGCAATCATCGGGACGTGAGGGTTTGCAAGGTCCCCAACGACTCCGTGATTATAACTGAACTGAATGCTTCCCTCTCAGAGGACTTTTATATATATAAATATTTTTTTCTCCCTTGCGGAGCCTGAATTACCTCCCTCTCAGAGGCTGGTACAGCACTCAACTGAGATTATTCTTATAAGTTCCTCTTGACTTATTAGGGTGTATGCAGTATGACATAGCATTGCATACAATACATAAAGCATAAACGTGCATAAATAACATGTGTAACTTTTTCTTTAAAATCTATTCATACTATACGCGAGATTCCTACTCACTTGAGTTTACAGAGCTGGAATCCGCTTTTCGTCAAACAGCGTACTCTCTTACTTGCTTACTTTTGAAAATGAACACTCATTGAGAGTGTGAGATTAATTATCGTTTGCTATTATGTTTTAGCAGCTTATGAAGGGCATCTAACCCTTTCCTTAAGGCATGTATCCCTCTCCTTTACTGAATGATAATTTACTATAAAGATCAATTTATTAAACCCTCAAAATCTTATTTCCTTTAATTGCCCTTATCATTTACTTGCATAGATTGAAAATTGATTACCCAATCTAGTGACTTATTATCCATAATTTACCTCATTGGACTTGTTATGATATTAAGGTCTAATTCGGCCTAGAAACTTATTCACGGCGTTCTAACTCTTAGGCCGTTGAAATTTAAACTCACAGGGTCTCTTGAATTAATGTGGGCGTTGGACCCACATCAAATCTTTGAAATTCTAAGGACCTAACGTATTGGGCTCGTAGGTACCCGTCAAGATGATTTGCTCGATAAACCATTAAGTTCTTAAAAGAAATCATTTTTTTTGAAAACTTTCTTTACGAATATTTCCGTTAAAATGAGGTTTAACACCATAGTATCTTATTGAAATCACATCTCAGGTTCTTTGATAACCTTTTGTTAAAAACCACACTGTGTTAGTTTTGTTTAGTTAAAACTGTGCAGTTTCTGATATCTGCGTTTTACTACATCTTAGAGTCGGATTTCAAAAATTTGTTCTTCGCAACAATTCTTCCGTCTCGTCGAGATCTAAAATTGTCATTTTTAGAGAAAACTGAAATTCAGCCTCTAAAGGCCTCGTTTGGCTGAAAACAGTGGCTGCTGTTTTTTTTTCTGAAACTGTGTTGGGCAGCCTAAACCGTTTTTGCAAAATGGCTTTAAACTTAATTTTAGAGTTAAAATTGGGTTTTGTCACAGTCATAGAAAAATGTTCAAAACATCGAGAACCATAAGTTTAAACTTAAAAATGCTGAAAAATCTTGCTCTATGGTCCTCATTTTCACGTTCAAAGTAACCAGTAAATTTTTCCTCCAACCAAAAATAAGCAAACTTAAACCAAACCTAAACATACCACATAATACTAATCAAACTAACCTCAAAACACAAAATCAACATAAAACTCACACACTCCTATTACAACTTATTTCCTCAAGAACCACAAATTACATCCTTGATCCACAACTTAATTTTTGGTAGGAAAATAAAGGAGAAAGGTTTAGAATTTATACCCTTGAAGAAAATCTTTGGTTAGGCTCCTCCTCGAACACTTGATCACCTTCTTCTTCCTCTAAGGTTTGTTAATGGCTTGGAACTAGAAGAGTATAAGAAAATTTGAGAAGAATATTTCTAAATCTCAAACTTTGCTAGAACATAAAAAAGAGAGGGTTTAGAGTTTATACCCTTGGAGAAATGCTTGACTAGACTCCTCCTACAACACTTTGATCTTCTTCTTCTTCTTCTATTGTTTGCTAGTGGGTTAAGGTTAGGAGAGTGAGAGAAAATTTTGAGGGGCAATGGGTAGAGTATTTCCGGTTTTGGTGTGTGGAAAAGGAGAGGAAATGTGCAAAATGGCTAACCTAATGCTTGCATTAATGGTCTAACATTTATAGACTTTGCTTGATCTCTTCTTAGTTCTTAATTAAGCCTATCAAGCTAGGTTAATTAGCAAAGTTTTTGGGTTAATTTTCCCTTGTTTGGCCGGTTGGATGCTTCAAGAAGGAAGTGAAGTAAGCCTTCTTGTCAAATAGTTGATTTGATTCATCTCATCATGAAATCTTCTAGCTCACTCAACTAACCAAAATTTGGCTATAATTTCCCCAAGCATGGCCGGCCAAGAAAGAGAGGGAAAAAAAATGATCATGAGTCCTCATCACACCTCATCCAATTCTACATATTAACCTACCCCTTGTACTTTTGTCCATTCTCTTAAGTTTCCTTTGAAACTGTTAAAAATTATATTGGCTGCAATTTTCTACTGTATATATATACTAGATGCTAGTTCGTATGGTGCTTGGAGATTCTTGAAATTAAGATTCTCAAACTGTATATATACTGAAAATTCTTCCGCCTTAAAGTACGGTGAGAATTTAATCGATCGAATTTATTTGATCGTAAAACATGAACTTAACATGAAATTTGCTACAGAATTTAGGAATACAGATGTTAATTCCATAAATCTTTCAGTCACAAAATATAACATAATGTATTTTTTTTCAGGAAAAATCCTTGACTTGAATACATAAATTGCATTATTTAAATTCTGAGATTTTCTTGGTTATTATACTCTTGATAAAACTATTAAACGCATTTTCAAAAATGATTTATGTCTAAGATTAAAAACGTTTTCATTTCTATTTTAATACAAAAAATAAAAATTATTTTGAAACGAGTTCTAAACGCACCTAATTTTTTATCATTTTTTTTAGGTAAGGCCTCCAAAGGGAGGAAAGAAATTTATCAATACGAGCCGAAAAGGGCCAGGTACAGCCAATGGTCCAAAGACCAAGAACAGGGGAAAACCTATTCGGGAATCTGTGGTCCAATCCACAGAGCTAAATGAATCCCTAACCCCAGAAGGTCTGTCATTTATGTATACATTGATCAGGACCGTCGATTTTACGGGAGTCAAATACAAAATTTTGATGTCGTTTCTTTGTTTTTTGGCTTGTTTATATTGTTGTCGTATATTGGGGTAATTGTCGTTTGTATAGTTTAGTGGCTGTTTTAGAATTTTCTTTTAGATTAATGCCGTAGTTTCTAATGTTATTGCCGTTTTTATATTTTTGACGTTCAAATGATATTTCGTTTCCCTGGTGGATGCATGGTTCAGGTCATTGTCATCGTTATATACCATTATCCCTCTTCACGTGGTGTTAATTTACCAGGTGATATTCTGTTTAGATTTTTCAGTTGTGTTTTTTTTTCATGTCGTTTTATAATAATATCGTCTTTATGTTGCTATTATATTATTATCGATCTCATTTTTAATATTAGTGTCGTTTTTATTTTTTTGTTGTTTTTAGTGCAACTGTAGCTAATGTCGCTTTCTAGTTTGCTGTCGTTTTTTAGTTTTTTGTCGTCTTTTTGTTCAATTGGTGGCGTTTTATAAGTTTGTTTCTTTAATGTTGATGCTAATGTTGTTTCTTCTTTTAGTGTTGTTCTTAGTTTGTTGCCGTTCTTAATATTACATCAAATCAATTACGTTGTTTTTATTTTAATGTCGTTTTATGGTACTATTAGTTTGTGGTCGTTTTTAATTATATTGTCGTTTTTTGTCCTTTAGGTCAATGGCGTTATGAATCGGTTGAGTTGGATTTTAGTCGTTTATCTAGAACAATGTCGTTTCATATGCATCGTCATTTATTTTATAATATTGTCGTCTCTTTTCATTTAAGTTGTAAAATTACGGATGCATATGAAACCGTTTTGAAACGTTGAGACTTGAGAGAGAGAAGAAAGAAGCGGATGGGAATAAGAAGAGGAAGAAAGGAGATAAAAAAAAAAAAAGAAAGTGTCACAGTGGGATAACATTTTATAGCACTTGGGCGATTTTAGCACGTAATCTCGTGTACATAGCCATATATTTACTAGAATTGTGAAGAAAGAATGAAGCTCTCTCTCTCTCTCTCTCCTGTTTTTTTTTTTTTTTTTTCTTATAATGTAGAAAAAGAGAGATAGAAAACGTGAAAAAAAAATGAAAAGGTCGAAGCAAATTAGGTAGTATAGAACGTTTGGTTCATAGATTAGAATCATGATATTAGAACCATTTTCGATTTACGTGTATTTTTTGTAAGAGAAAACACTGTAGCGAACTATGAACCATGATTCGAATCGGAGTACGAATCCCCCAACCAAACAACCCAGCGAGTACTAATTTGTTATTTTGTAATGATTTTCTCCTTAAATTACGTCGCACGACTATTGTCTGCCGAAATTATCTCCACGTTTAGAAATCAATATTAATAGGAAAGAAAAACAGAATCAAGATAGTGTTGTTGAGAAAGGAAGGCAACAATCTAAAAAAAATGAAACAAATTACGTAAGTTAAGTAGTTTAAGCGCCGTATACGCTTATTCTCGAAAGTTTGAAAATGAGAAGTAACATTTAAGTAATGTGTTGAGCTCAATTATTAAAGGGTTAGAGAGAGAAAATGGAGTAGTTCAATTAATTTAATAAATTGGGATTGACCAAAAAGTTCTTCACAATATTATTTTCGAAGCAATCTCACGGAGTCTCTTGACAGAAAATTGATGTGCTAAAATGGAGAAACCAAACAAGATCAAGCAAATATAAAGAAATATACAATATATATACACACAAACATTTTTCTAAGAAAAAATTCCAAGAAAGGACAAGAAAACGCCAAAATGATGGAGTCCGCGTGTCCTCCTTTACTCTACTTGTCAATTTTTTTTTAGTTTTTTTTTTTAAAAGACAATTCTATTATTGTATTTTAGTTCTTTGGAAAATAATAAAAAATAGGTCAATATGAAAAGCTTAAGAAAGTATATATATTAATTTTTAGTTATAGAAATTAATAGGCCATAACTTATTAAGTTATAGTTCATAACCAGATAAGTTATGGATAAACTTGTCAAGTTATGGTTCATAATCAGACAAGTTATAAACAATAACTTGTCAAGTTATGGTTCATAACCAGACAAATTATGGACGAAAACAGTAATTTGACCTATTTATTAACTTATATAAACTATTAACCTATTAATTTTAATTCTTATCTTATTTCCCTCTTTCTTCTTAGTTCTTTGTTAACCTTGTCAAAAAAGGGGGGAAAAAACACTAATTATTTACGATTTTCAGCACTTGAATTGAGCCGAAAATTGAGGAAACTTCTCTTTGATGCGTATAATTTAGCGACATGTACGCAGTTGTTATTCCTTGTTATATAAATTACAATCAAAAGTACCTTCTAAATTCTTTAGTTTCACGTGATCGATGCAACCTTTGAAAAACATGAATAGCCAAAAAAAAAAAAAAAAAAAAAAAAAAAAAAAAAAAAAAAAAAAATCACATACAAGACTACGATCACCGTTCACCGCAAAAAGTTACATAATCCACGGGGGAAGAAAAAGGCACACATTCCCGTAAAACGTACAACATTCAGAACACCGCTAATTTACATGCACTGATCTGTTACGTACACTTTAACACTTATTTTAGCTTCTCTCCTTCCTCATAAAAGTACACACGTACTTTTCAGAAATCTTACAGGAAGCCCTTCACGAGATCTAGACATAGAGAGATATAATATAGTAAAACATAATATATATATATATATATCTTAAGCACGTCTCATGCAAAAAAGAGGTGATTAGTATATAATTAGTATTGATCAGGCCACAAGAAAGCGCCTTTTGCATATTCCCTCTTCTCATCAAGAGAGCCCTTGAAACTGAGCCCGTATTGCTTGAGAAGCAGGTCCAGCCTCCACTCCTCCATCTTCTCATAATCCGTCTTGGCGTAACGTGGATAATGAAGAGGCATTTGGAACTCCATGACCTCTGAATTTTCGGACATTAATCCTACGTTGTTAGTACCGTTAGGTACCTTTAAGCTGTTCTTCGCGTCTCCATTAATATTGGCTCCTTCTTTAGTTGGGTACCCCAAAACATGGCACGCTGAGTGAACAAACCATTTCAAGGTTGCCATTTTTGACGACTCCTTCTTTCTCTCTCTAAAGAGAGAAATTGTTTTTGTTTTTTTTTTTTAAGACCAAATTTAGGAGGACTTTTGTTTTGGAGCAAATTCTCAAAGAACTGCACCCTAATATATATAGCTGCCCAAACGTCTCTAGGCCGGCAACAGTAATAATATACGTGTGAAACGACAAATTAAATTGCATATAATTAATAATAATAATAATAACAACAGCCCCAATCAAAAATAGTTTGCGTATATTTTGCAATTAATTAATGTATTCTTGTAGTATACTTGTATGGTTTCTGAGGTGCCAGCATATCATATTGGCTAATAAGGCTACAATGTGTTCATTGTAGTGGTTATTTGTCGCTTTTTATTTTTTATTGTTTATTTTTCCTTTCATATGATTAATACAAATAATTGATAGAGTTCAAATAAAATTTAAAAAAAAAATGATTGAGTTGCGTATCGGAATGCCAGGGCCATTAATGACGTCACATAATCAATAATGTTGAGTGGCTTTCGGATTAAGATTTTCTAGGAACCTTGATTTATGGCTATTATATATATATATATATATATATATGTGTGTGTGTGTGTGTGTGTGTGTTAATGCACAGCTTAATTATTGAGTTCCCCGGCGAAAAATGAAGGGTCTAGGAGTCTAAGACAAAGACAACAAGGGAGTAATAAATATGTTTCAATCCAAAACCTATTAATTATAAGAAAATGAAATGGACTGCTCCAGCCAACAGCTGTGACAACGAAATTTTTTGTGGACTTTGGAAAGCAAGTAAAAAGCCAAAAAAAAAAAAAAAAAAAAAAAAAATCACATACAAGACTACGATCACCGTTCACCGCAAAAAGTTACATAATCCACGGGGGAAGAAAAAGGCACACATTCCCGTAAAACGTACAACATTCAGAACACCGCTAATTTACATGCACTGATCTGTTACGTACACTTTAACACTTATTTTAGCTTCTCTCCTTCCTCATAAAAGTACACACGTACTTTTCAGAAATCTTACAGGAAGCCCTTCACGAGATCTAGACATAGAGAGATATAATATAGTAAAACATAATATATATATATATATATCTTAAGCACGTCTCATGCAAAAAAGAGGTGATTAGTATATAATTAGTATTGATCAGGCCACAAGAAAGCGCCTTTTGCATATTCCCTCTTCTCATCAAGAGAGCCCTTGAAACTGAGCCCGTATTGCTTGAGAAGCAGGTCCAGCCTCCACTCCTCCATCTTCTCATAATCCGTCTTGGCGTAACGTGGATAATGAAGAGGCATTTGGAACTCCATGACCTCTGAATTTTCGGACATTAATCCTACGTTGTTAGTACCGTTAGGTACCTTTAAGCTGTTCTTCGCGTCTCCATTAATATTGGCTCCTTCTTTAGTTGGGTACCCCAAAACATGGCACGCTGAGTGAACAAACCATTTCAAGGTTGCCATTTTTGACGACTCCTTCTTTCTCTCTCTAAAGAGAGAAATTGTTTTTGTTTTTTTTTTTTAAGACCAAATTTAGGAGGACTTTTGTTTTGGAGCAAATTCTCAAAGAACTGCACCCTAATATATATAGCTGCCCAAACGTCTCTAGGCCGGCAACAGTAATAATATACGTGTGAAACGACAAATTAAATTGCATATAATTAATAATAATAATAATAACAACAGCCCCAATCAAAAATAGTTTGCGTATATTTTGCAATTAATTAATGTATTCTTGTAGTATACTTGTATGGTTTCTGAGGTGCCAGCATATCATATTGGCTAATAAGGCTACAATGTGTTCATTGTAGTGGTTATTTGTCGCTTTTTATTTTTTATTGTTTATTTTTCCTTTCATATGATTAATACAAATAATTGATAGAGTTCAAATAAAATTTAAAAAAAAAATGATTGAGTTGCGTATCGGAATGCCAGGGCCATTAATGACGTCACATAATCAATAATGTTGAGTGGCTTTCGGATTAAGATTTTCTAGGAACCTTGATTTATGGCTATTATATATATATATATATATATATATGTGTGTGTGTGTGTGTGTGTGTGTTAATGCACAGCTTAATTATTGAGTTCCCCGGCGAAAAATGAAGGGTCTAGGAGTCTAAGACAAAGACAACAAGGGAGTAATAAATATGTTTCAATCCAAAACCTATTAATTATAAGAAAATGAAATGGACTGCTCCAGCCAACAGCTGTGACAACGAAATTTTTTGTGGACTTTGGAAAGCAAGTTTATTTTGATCAAAGATCATCAGGTGTTCTTAGCCGAAAATTTTCTACTATTTCATTCCAATCCAATGTTTTCTTGTGGGGGTTTTTTTTTTTTTTTTTTTTTTTGGTGCCTAATTTGATTGGAAAAATTGTAGCATGATTGTTGATGTGTACCCTTTTCCCAATTGGCTGCAAGGCTTGTGGCTTGGATATACGGAAAGCAATCTATCATTGAAGCGTGTTGTTGGAGGATCTGGGCCACACTACGTCTCTCCTAAAAAATAAATGAAAGTCTTAATAATGTTTGGTTCATGAATTTAGAATCATGATTCATGATTTTAATTTTTAAAGTTTAAATTTTTTGTGAGAGAAAAATATTGTAAACAACTATGAATCATGATTCAAAATTAATAATGAATACATGAAACAAATATCTCCTTAAAATCTATTCACTAAACGTCTTGTCCTGATTCCTTTTTATTCAACCTGTCCCTACTACCATTTACCAAAGAAGGACCAACGTTAGGGGCAAGAATGAAAAATATGGCTAAACCAAAAAAAAAAAAAAAAAAAAAAAAAAAAAAAAAGAGAATGAAAAATATGGATATCGGTGCCTAAATTTTACTGAAATGACGACAGAGATATGGTTATCAATAAAAACTTGTGTAAAATAGGAAACTTTATCTTAACACATTGAAATTTTAAATTAAACTTTTAGAAACTTAAAAAATAATTAAAGATGCATAAGTAGATGAAATTTGCAATTAGATTACTGATATATGGTAAATATGTATAGAAGTGATAATAGTACATAAGTGTACATTTACAGATTTAAGTAAAATAAATAAAAAAATAATTGGATTACCATTTAACCTAACCCCTGTAATTTACATCCATAGTTTTCATACAAAATGAGAAAATAATCAATAGAAAAAGTAGCTTGGTTTGAAGAATCAAAGGTATCTTCTTGGTATAAAGTATGAACAACATTAGTACCAAAACATGAAATTTGAGTAGTTTCTTATATAATCTTGAAATTAAGAATGATTATTTTGTCTTCTTATATCATATAAACAGTGAAATCATATAAATTGCGTCCAACAAAAAAAAAAGCATATAAACTTATAGTAAAATAAATATACATGTATTTGACTTTCAAAAATAAAATTTCAGAAAATATATTTATATATAGAGTATCAAATTTTATCAAATTTTCTTTGGTGTTTTATCAATTGTTACTAGAATTTATGTAGAAAGTTTCACGAAATTTCGCTATTTTTCACAACACTTTCTACGGAAATCGATACTTCTTTTTTTTTTTTTTTTTTTAAAGGACAGTACTCTTGGAAAATTTTACTGAAAGTGATATTTATGCACCCTTCTTTCAATATCGATAGTGTCAAGATATTGCACTTCCTAATTCTTACGAAGATCATCATTCATGTAAAACCGAAAAATTTAGGTCTCGTTATTTTCACAACTTAAATTTTTTATTATAGTGTTTTCTCTCACATAAGTTCACTCTTTAACTCAAGCTCTCTAACTCCCGAAAAGAACGGGCTTAGTATTTGAGCAGCAACTGAAGTAAAAATAACGTTATTTTCTTCAATGAGAAGTAGTAAAGAGATTCTCTTGTTAATTAACTATGGAAACATGAAACGTGGTAGTTTGTATAGGCCATATTTGGGAAAGAGAAAGGAGATAGTAAGTAAAAGTTATTTGAATGAATGGGAACAAGAACGTTAGAGAAGAGCGTGGCGGCCGAATGGAACATTGAGGGCAGTAATTTACGCTGCTCTTATAATAAAATATATTGGTATCGTGTGGCCTAATTAATTAAGAACATGTACATGATCTTCTCGGGAAAACAAAGGCTGATATGTTATATATTCTTCATAACTATACGTATTTAACACATTTAACTGCCCAACTGCTTTCATCGATATAGTAATTACTGGTGAGAATGTTTTTATAATTTTACTGTTTAGCTACCACGGGTAGGTAGTAGGAGGAAGCGGAAAGGCAAATTAAAAAAGTGCACACGGTTCTCCGGATCGGACAAAGCATCATGTTTTTATTTTTTCCTGTTTTTCTGCTGGTTTCATAAAGGTTTCTTGGACCAATCAATTGCGCCTTTAATTTATTATTGATAGAGCCTAACTTCGAGTATGTCCAAGTCTACAGTTCCTAAGTTTTCATGCATTTTATATGGTTTCTCTCGACACAATCTCACTTTTTTGTCAATTTTTTTTTTTGTTTTTGTTTTTTTATGAATCCAAAGGAACTTGAAGTGGTGCAAAAAATCTAGCTTTTACAGTCATGTATTGGGATCATCTTGATGCAGCCCATATCGGGAATGAAATCAATATTTTTAACTTGAGGACGAATTCTTTCCAACCTCAAAATTTTTTACCCGAAGACAATTATTATGGAAGAAAAATCAAATTCTATTCTTAGAAGTTTTTAATTGATTACATTACCATTTTTACATTTAGGTTAGTCTAAAAAAGTCAAATTTCATTTTGGCTAAATTCTTGGGTTGTTAGTTTCTCTTTTTCTTTTTAATTTTCAGAATTATTTATTTTACTAATTTTATTTTTAGTTTTTTAGTTACTGTTTGGGGCAAATTAGCCTATAAATATGTTAGTTTTATCCTATGTAAAGGAGGGCGATAATTTTTATGAATGAAATATGAGTGTTTACACTTCTTATTTTTCTAGTTTTTAATATTCTTTATGAATCAATGAATCTTGATGCCAATTTCTGGTATTTTATGTGAATCAACAGATTTTGAAGCGGATTTTCTGACATTCTATGTAAATCAACAAGCTAACTGATCTATCACTCTTATTTTTATTTTTCAATTTTATTAATTAAGCTGCCGCTACATTACATCTCAAGATCAAACAAGATAATATATGACCCCGTTCATTTCGCCGATTCGAGTTTAAAATTCGAGTTTTGCTACAGTAAAAAGTTCTCATAAACAATCACATCTAACTTTTTTGCTACAGTAAAAAGTTCTCACATAAGGTCACATCTCAACTCGAATTAACGAAGTGAAGTAAAAAAAAATACACTTATCGTGACTTCAGAATTTTTCTGATTCTTATTATGATTGTGTTTATAATTTAATTATGTTTAGGTCATTTTGGCATAGTTTTATGTTTGTGTTTTTATGTTATAAACAGTTGCACTCTCATGTAATGAAAATCAGACTTGTCGAATGAAACTGGAGTGTTTACTCTTTATATTTTTCTCTTTTCTAAGCTTCAGAACTCTGTTCAACATGTTAATAGATCTATCCTTTTCTTTATTATTATTATTTTTTATTTGTTCTAATTTAAGCTCCCACTGCATGATGAACATAAAGACGTAACCTTACTTTTCATGCCCACTAAAGTTATAGCAATTTATCAAATGCAACTATATAATACATGTTAACGTTAACACACGGTCCATATATAATTGAAGCACATGTAGTGATACCTACTTTATCAAATCAAACCTTATTCCTTCTCTTTTGGTTTCTTTTTAGTTTTTTATTTTAGTCTTTTTTCTTGGGAGATGAGAGAGAAATTAATCACTTTTCTGAATCAGCCTCCTCTACGCAGAGAGCCAGTCAATGAGTCAATTTGCTAAGCATATTATTATTTCTTCTCTCCTCTTTTTTCCATGCAAAAGTGATTAATTTGCAGCCCAGTAAAAGATGCACACTGACAATTAGCTCTACTTATTATAAATATGTTCATCTACGTCTCTTGATGTTTTTGCAATATATTTAAGCGTGTCACTTCCACGAAAATTCTGCTGTATTTTTGCTACGTTTTTTCCTCTTCTATAATCTCATGGTTTATGTACTTTTTTTTTTTTGCACTTAAACCCTTAAGTCACAGTCCAGGACTCTTGTTAATTTCCAGCCAAAAGGTATTTTCTCTATTTTGGAGTATCCAAGTATTTATTATCCTCTCCTTTTTTTCTTCTTCTTTTTTTTTTCTTTTTTTTTCCCCCCCCTTGGGTTTAACTGAGTGTGAACAACGTGTGATCTGCAGGTGGTCATGGAAGGAAGTTCATTGATGATAACCAGAAGTCTCCAGTGTGGCCCAAGAATTTCTGTAGTCACTATGGCTCTATTTTCCCTTTTGGTGCTTGCTTCGTTCTTTGGTACAGTTCTTCATTCAATCCCTATGCTTGATTGCTTTCCATTTCATTTGCGACAAAGTTAATTATTTTGTACGATTATTGTATGAATGGCAATGACCATTAACAAAATATAACTTGAGCATTTGCAATTTGTGTTTGATTTGATATTTGATTTGTCTGAAATTTGAAACATCTTTGATATTGCAGCAACGGAGTCAAAACAGTTGGGAGGCACAGATGAAGTTGGCCTTAAAACACCGATCTTTTCGGAGAGAACCAGCACTGGCTTCACTGAAAGGAGTCTCTTACAGACACAATCAGCTGGTAATTAAGATATCACTCGTTCTCTTTATTATGTTTGGTACTATTGTGCATGCTCCTTCTTTCATTCTTCATGTGAAGCCTCAATTTGCATAGAGGCGTGACTTATATACAGACATATCCTTAAATGGTTCGAGAATTAAGCTTGGTTCAGCCTTTTTACAATGATTATACGTGTGACAGTTTACTAAATTGTTATGTACGTATATGTATTGCGGCGGTCCTGGCAGAGGCACACATATTTTGAAAAAAAAAAAAAAAAGACAAGAAAGAAAAAAAAAAAATTTAAGGCAAATTTCTAAAAAAAAAATTTTAATTATGGCCTTTATAATTCTGACTATGCCCCATTATAGACAATTCTAACCACTTCCGAGTGTAGATAATTCTAAATTTCTAACTACACCTCACTCGATACTAGATAATTCTAACTACGCCTCATTGTAAATAATTTTAAGACTCCGTTCATTTTACCGATTTGGGTTTAAAATTTGAGTTTTACTACAGTAAAAAGCTTTCAGAAATAGTCGCATCTATCTTTTTTGCTACAGTAAAAAGCTTTCACATAAAGTCACATCTCAACTCAAATTAAAAACTCAAATCAACGAACTAAACGGCACATAAGTTTCTACTGAAAAAATTTTTGCGTTTCATATTGTTGCCCCTACTGAAAAAATTTATTCGCTTCCGCACAACACATGTATAGTAATATTTTTCGTCTTACTTCGATATACTACTATACCATGTATCTAAACATTTCAAAAATCGATACAGATTACGGAGGTGACGTGAACCGCATAGGTGAAAATACATGTTCAAAAGCGGACATAAGAATCTTCCAAGCGCCAACGGGCACACTTCCCAATGGGATTCCATCATTCACAGTTGAGATCCTAAACGCTTGCCCCTCATCAGGCTGTAGCGTCTCCGAAGTTCACGTCAAATGTGGGTGGTTTAGCTCAGTTCGGTTGATTAACCCTCGAGTTTTCAAGCGATTATCCTTCGACGATTGTTTAGTAAAAAATGGTGACCCCCTCACCCCTGGAGAGGCCCTCTCTTTCCAATATGCCAACACCTTTCGATATCCGCTCTCAGTTTCTTCTATTGCTGGTTGCTCAACTTAAGCAATTTCTTATCTTTTTTCGCCTTTAGGTGAAGTGTAATATTATGACTCCGTTTATTTTACTGATTTAAATTTAAATTTTAAATTTTATTATAGTAAAAAGTTCTCAGAAATAGTCACATTTATTTTTTTTATTACAGTAAAACACTATCATATAAAGTCACATCTTAACTCAAATTAAAAATTTAAATTAGCGAACTAAGCGTATTAAACGGGCATTATATATTGAGTTATGATTAAACTACGCCTCCATTCTTTTTGAAGGTTCAAGTGAAAAATTTGAGTTGACATTCAAATTTTTATGGAAAAAAAAACACTACAGTAAAAAAAAGTTAAATTATGATTCGAATCGTGAAAAAAAAAGGGCCCATAAAACATTTTGTTTAGCAAATGACCTGGAATGTTGTGGAGCTTTTCTTTTGCTTCTTGATTTAGGCTTAGGGTCCTTTTGAAAAATAGGCTTAAAATGTATAATGTGTTTAATGAGTAGGCTCCGAAATAGAAAGTTTCAATGAGTAGGCATTTCATTAAATGAAAAAATGTGTATTTCCTAAATGCTCTTCTCCTTTTCTCTCAAATTAAAAGAAAAAACGTTTGAAAAGGAGGAGCTAAATCCCCTCCTTCGTTGGGCAGTCACGAGGAAACGTTGCCGGCCAAAGTTCACCGGCGGCGCTGCCTTTCACCGCCGGAGAATGCCCCTACCGACGTCGACAATCGCCAGCATCCATGGTGATTAACAGTCCGAGCATTATTCTCTCAAATCTTGTATTTTTTATGCTTAATTCATTGTTTGAATGCTGGGTAATCGTAGTTTGATATTTTATTTGAAAAACCAACGAGAATCATGCTATTTCATGGCCTCTTCGGAGTTGAGTAATCTGTAAAATCGAAGAAACTCACGTCTGTCATTTCTTTCCGTTCTGACTGGTGGGAGCGGTAAGAAACCTGAGTCCGGTCAGAAAGTTCTTATTGGTGTGCCCTGTAAGAAAATTGCCAACCGGTCTTTCTAGTAAGAAAGATCTGATCGGGCATAATTTTTAAGGATATTTTGGTCATTCACTCTTATCCCAGGAATAAAAAAAAATGAAAATGAAAATTCCATTTATAACGGGTCTACGAATTGAATGGGTGTACATTTAGACCTATTGACTTAAAAAATCCTTAGGGTTAATATGCAAAATCATTCATACACAAAATCCAAGTGATGTACAAGCGTATATATAGGAAAATTGAGACTGCTGTGATCAACTTGCTCGTGCTTGTGAGAAACTAATTGACAAATTAAAAAACAAAATCAAATTAAGCCGGAAAAAGAAGCTCATTTTTATAAAGGGATTGAATCCTTACGATCTGCAGGCTAATAACTATAATCATAAGAAAAATCTGTGATACCAACCATGGCTGAAACGACTTGCGAGACGATGAAGATTCCGCCCCCCAAGATGACCAGAATGAGAATTGCAGAAATGGGGTTCTTCAGCAACTCATATATAGGCTGGAATACAGTGTAAAGAGCACCTGTACTGACTGTGAGAGCGTAAAGTGCATATCTCCTCACGTTGTCCCAAAACTCTTCCACAAGTGGCCCTTCAGGCCCAAAAGCCAACGCCTTTTGGTCATTCACCCCCATCAGGAGCAGCACAAATCCTACGGAAACCGCTCCGACTATCAGACACCTTGGACACGACTCAATCCCAACATTTGTGGAAAAATTATTTGATGACAAGTGATTTTGGGATTTGGGATTGAGTTCTCGGATCAAAGTTGTCTTGTTCAAGACATCATTTGACTTGGTGAGATTTAGAGTTTGTCTCTTGATGGGGATTGTTTTAGAAGGTAAGTAATTAGTCGGTGTTGGGTGCTTTCGGTATGAGATGGGGATGAGAGTTGGACGAAATGCGGTAGAGTTGGTAAGATTAGTGCACTTTGGGATGCAGAATTGGGATCTCAAGGTCAACATATTTTTCATTTTGAGGAGTTTTCAGTTGATTTCTTGGCTCTCAGATTATGTTTTCTATGGTAAAAGTTCTAGATTAGCCTTTCGAGTGTGTGGCTGTAGTTGGTTTGTCTTTATTTGCCCTCTTTTCATATCCTTATCTATTGTTGTAAGCCAATGAAGTTAAATGAAGATTAAAACTTAAAATTTAATGCGGATATTAAGTCCTTATTTATTTTACTATTCGAGTTTAAAATTTAAATTTTATTATAATAAATTTTTTTTAAAAATAATCATATCTAATTTTTTTAGTATAGTAAAAAATTCTCACATAAAGTCTCGAATTAACGAATTAAACAGGCTCTAAGAGTTTAAGATATGCATACTTCTATTAGCTCTCTTGGTTCTGCATAAAATTTGCCATGAAATTAATGTGCATTGAATGGCCAAATCTAAAGAAATTCCAATGTTGAGGTATTATTAGTAAAAACTTTTTTTTTTTGTGTGGCACAAATTGTGCTTAGAGGTCATAACACTCATTACTCAATTGCGCAAACATCTCTATGACACAAATCTAGTTATTTGTTTTTTAACCATTTTGCATTTCCTTCTAAATATTTTTTCCCCTTTCATAGAGAATTATCCAAAGAAAATGTTGTATTTCCACGAGAACTTGTAACATAAATTTCACAAAAAAAAACAAAATGAAACAGAAAAAATGGAGAGTTGTGATAACAATCACTTGAGAAAAATTAAAATCATGTCAATTATTACCAATACTTATGATCCATGGAACTATGACGTTCTGAGTTAAAAAGGTTTCTGAAATGTAACATTTTTCTTATAAATTAAGGTTCACTATTCGTCTGAATACGGCTACATTCCCACACTCATTTTTCTTAATTACTAAAATTTGGATGCCCCTAAATCTAAATATATATATTGCTACATTCTTAACGGTGCTATAAATGAGACAAAATAACAATCAGCACTACTGCGACAATAAGAATAGGACTACTGAGTAGTAGGTGGGTAGAAATGGTAGGTGTAGAAAATGTCCCCTTAATTGCCAAATATTTGTTGCACAATTTTCAAAATTGGACTAAAGATAATTTGGAGATGGGGCTTAATATTTCTATAGCAATAATGCAAGTGACTAAAGGAGTATGCTTTTTAAAATCATTAATAGGTTGTTTAGTTGCTAGATTCATGACATGATTCGAATTATAGTTCGTTGTTCGCTATAGTATTTTCTCTCATAAAAATACACATAAATTAAAAATAATTATGAATTATGATTTTAAATCTATGAATCAAACGTCCACTAAGATAAAAATTAAATCCAGACACTTTTACATATTTTATTATTTTTATTTAATTTTGATTAAATTCAACGTCAACCAATATTTGTACGGGATCAGTCAAAAATCTAGCTCTTATTATACTGATAGGAATAAGACTTTAGGCAAATCAGTCTTTATTTATTTATTTATTATCTATTTATTTTTAGGGAAGTACGAATTATAACTTACAATTAAGCAATTTGGCTTCGTCATTAATACGGCGTCGTAGGGAGAAGAATTTTGGTAGGAAGATTATTAGATTCTGTGCTGACCGAGGCAAACCGACCGTGAAAGCGTCTGAATCCGCCACGTAATAAAGCCAAGAAAAAACCCCAAGAAAAACGTTATGTTTCTACCGGAGGTACGAAAATACCACCAAACAAACACAAGATTCCGATTCTACCCCTCCCCATTTTCCTTCCTTATTCGGCCTCACTCTTTCACCAGATGTCGTGGGAGTGCCTCCTCTCCGCCCTTGTTCCCCAGCCTCTGCAACACCTGCCCTAACTCCGCCATTCTCTCTCTCTCTCTCTCTCTCTCTAGAATTCTCTCATTCGTCTCTTTCTTCTCTAAGCTATGTTCAGAAACGTTTCACCGTCAAGGAGGGGAAGAAGCTACCTCTCTTTCTCTCTCTAAACCAAAAACCTCGTTTCCTTTGCACTTCGCCCCTTGTTCAGACCATCAACGAAAGAAAAAGCCTTTTGCTCTGCCCTTTGTATCCTCCGCCGACGAACCGTTTCGACGATGTCAATGCCATTCGAATCGTCTGGTCTCTAGCTGCCGCAGGCGTTTCAGCTCTGCGGAGTGTTGGAGGGAGTTCCCCTTTTTTTTCGTTTCTTTGGACTTTGGTTCTGGGTTTTATGGAATCCTAGTCCTCTCTATTTCGTCTCATTTTCGGCTTTTTCAAATTATTTTTGCTTTCATACTCATTTCCTTGGCGGCTGTTTTCTGCAGAGAGAGAGAAATATATAATCTTTTTTTCCCTTATTATTATTACTATTATTTTTTTTGTATTTTCGTGTTGATTAAGCTGCTTTGCATTTCTCCGATACTGATTTTGCCAAACATGTAGTCTTTAAGTTTTATGTTGAAAGGTTTTGGGTTTTAAGAGAGCAAATTCTTAGGGTTTTGGCAATTGGAAATTCGAAGCTAATGTGATATTAGAAAGAAACTTCTTCAAAAAAAAAAATCAAATTTGGGGATTTTCTAACATCGCGATGCCTGGGAACGATCATGGTTTCGTGGCATGGGAAGAACACATTTTGTGCCATGAGCGTGGTAACCGCGTGGTTCACTATTTTTTGAAGGATTCATCCGAGGATTTGGTTCTTGCTGTTATAGGGACTGAGAGGAGCATTAGGCACATGATGTATGTCGTTGCCGAAGAGTTTGTGCAGGCTTATGGCCCCTTAGGATCTGTCAATGCCTGCACGAAATGGCGAGCCAGAAGAGAAGTTGTGGAGTGGCTCACTTCCTTGGTCTCAAGGCGTTGTCCGGAAGAGCTCTCAAGTACGTTCTCATTATTGTATAATGCAGTTTTCTTTATTTTATTTCTGGGATTTTGATTTTTATGATTTTAGACTGAATTAGTACATTTAATGGTTCGGGCATTGTCGTGGAATTTGATTATATGCATTGCCTAAATGTGTTGTTTAGAAAGAAATCTCCTTAGAGAACAGATTCGTGCTCGAGACGCTAGGTTTAGGATTACGAATTGCATGCATGGATAAACATTTAAGTCAGTTTTGTTTCCTTCATAGGATAACTACTTGATGTGGCAATCATGCCCTTTTTGTCGCTTAAGTTTCGCAATTAGTGGATGTTGCGCGATTTTAGCTACACATCTAGGAAATTGCTTCACATATAGGATCTTGGTTGTGGAGTTTGGTAGATTGAATATAGAGTTCTTTGGATATGAAATTAAACTTATTGGTCAAAGATTATGATTTTTATTTCTTGAAAGTAGATGTGTATTGAAGTATTAATTTCACGCAAGGTCTTGTATGTGCATAGCATTCTAGGGTTGAATCAATAGTTTGTACTTGAAAGAAACTGCTCTTGCCAAGCACAATTTTGATGGAGATTCAAATAGCATATAAAAATACTAGTGGTTACTAGGGTGGAGCTCCTACAGTTCCCATCCACCCCTATGGTGGGATCTTCATCATTTAAGGTGGGATACTTAGTTAATACGCTTATCATTTATTTTATATTTTTTACATAAAAAAACTTGCATACCTATTACTTATCCTAAGTTCTCAATTGAAATACTCACATTGTAAGTTGTTTTTAAGTACATGTTAGCTACTGTCACTAGAATTCACTTGACTTGATGTATGAATATCACGGCCCTTAGTTTAAGGCAACGATTTTTTTGTCCAGCACCAATGTATAGTGTTTTTCCAGTGTGATATTTGTCCGAGATTATGAAGATTTTAAGACTTGAAATGTTATCCTGGTTATAGAATGCCTACCTTTTCTTGAATTTCAAACTAGGACACCATTATAGCTTGCTTCTCTAATTTGTTAATGCATCAACTTTTTAATACGTGTCCTTTACAAAACCTACTGATAAATTTTCTTTTCTTTATGATATTGTGGGCACAGAGGGTGCGTATCTTGAGGATATGATACGTTTATTAATGAAGCATAGCCGGTTGATTTTATGTCAGATAGAATTTAATGTTTCTTGCATAAGTACCATTGTAGTAGATCTTATGCAGGCCCAGTTGTTTTGGCTCTTTGCGTCTTTTGCGTTGATGAAAAGAAATAGTATCTCAATAATTTGATAATTTATAAACCTACTTTTATTGGCGATTGTGTTTTAGCATCTTTTTAAGAAAGAGAGGGTGGCTATTACGTGTCTCTTTGCAGTCATTTTCCGCAAGCACGCGCTATTAGCGTGTTCTTCGGTCGCATTAAATCTCCTTTCCTTTTCTTTTTCAGCATTTAAAGGCTGCCACAAAATATCAATCTATCTTATTATATAAATGCATATGACATATGTAGAGATAGAGTGGGGAGATATAGAGAGAGAAAGAGAGGAAGGGTAGAGAGAGAGAGAGAGAGAAAGAGAGAGAGAGAGTAGTTGCTATGAGTCAGTTGACTGGATTTTCAAGCTTCGTTAATGGAATGGGTATGCCACCAAACCCTGGTTTGTGTACTTATCATTATTTCTTTCATAATTGTTTTATCTTCTTCGTGTTAGTTACATTTATGTAGGATTTTCAAGCGCCGTTGAGGGAATGGGTACGCCACTGAACCCCAGTTCATTTATCTATTATTAAATTTTTCATAGTGGATTTATCTTCTTCCCGTTTGTCACATTTACAACTTTTCTTTTTTGAAATCTGGGACTGAAATGCTTGTTTTGCTTTTCGGAATTTAGAATGTAACATTTTTTTGGCCGGGTGTAGGGGGAAAGAAACTCTAGAACCCTAAATCTAGGTTTCCCCCCTTTTTCATTGAATCCTGAAAATTGAAAGTTCATCTCAACAGTGCAATACTGGTCATACCTACCAGTGGACTAATCAGCTATGGATGTGCCCTAAAGAAACGTGTTTTGTATGTTGGATGCAACACATCCTATGCATTCATCAACTTATGTGAGAACTTGTTAGACTAGTTTCAAAGCAATTAGATGATTCCCTAAGAGGAAAAAAAACTTAAAAACTTTCTTTGAGCTTGCTTTCTTTTGATTTTTTTGGCTCTTGAATAACATATGCAATTTGCGATGCCGATTTAAAGGGAATGTACTTTGTGTCAAAGATCAGTTAAATGTTTTTTTTTTTTTTGGTTGGGAAAAAAAAGGTTCCTTTTTTTTTAATTCCCTTTTTTTTTTTTTTTTTTTGGTTGAGCAAAAAAGAGTTCCTTTTTGTTTAATTCCTCTATTCTTTTTCCTTTTTCTTTTCTTGACTCTTTTCCCGTTTTGCATAAGCCTTTGTTTGGCATAAGTATTACCAAAGAATTTCGAGCAGGAAAACAAAAAGTAATAAAAAGGATAAAGAAACTTGAATTTTAAGGAATTTACTATATTAACATTCATTTAGCGTTTGTATTGTGGTTGAATTTATTATGATTTCAATCTGAGTGGCCTGTCTATCATTTAAAAGGTACATGAAAATTGGATTTGCATCATCAATTATACTATTACTTCCCGATTAAGATGGTAACAGCATCCCATCGTTTGATCATTGGTGTACAACCAACTCGTTACCATTAATGTTTTCAATAGAATCATTCTTGTTGCATCACGTTTTGAACACTAATGCGCATACGAATCGTTAACTTTTGATGATTGTGGACTGAGAATAATGTTGTTATGATGCTTGATAGATTCACCGACAAACGACTCAACAGTAGCTTTGTCAATGTCTGGATCCAGTGCTCATCAAACCTTCTTGCCTGATCAGATGGTATCCATTTTCTGCTTTCTGGTTTTTTTTTTTTTTTTGGTTGTTGTTGTTGTAAATAAATGATAATAGTAATAAACATTACATTCTCCATTATCCAGGTTTCAAGAAAATTGAAAGTTCAAGATTCAGAAATTGAATGGTCTGGTGTTGCTTGGATCTGTGCCAAACAGCTAAAGCATTACCCAGCTTTTTGTAGGAGTGAAACTACAATTAAAGTAAGCAACAAGCCAACAACCTTTTCTGCTATGTTATTGATTATTTATCTGTATAGTGGTGGTCGTCTCCTTGTCTAAGACATATTTATTTAGTTTTCTTTGCATTCTGAGGTTTTTAATTGAGTTTGTTGTTGTTGTTGCTGTTTTTTTTTTTTTTTTTTTCCCCTTGATGCTCAGGTCCATTCTTTTGTATTTATAATGGCATTAGATGATCATCAATACCTTGGTTACTTGGAAGATATGTATGAGGACAAGAAAGGGCAGAAAAAGGTTAAAGTGCGCTGGTTTCACCATAATCAGGAAGTCAAAGATGTGCCTCAGCTAAATCCACATCCAAGTGAAGTTTTCATCACATCTCATGTCCAAGTGATCAGTGCAGAGTGTGTTGATGGTCCTGCAACAGTTTTGACTCCTAAACATTTTGAGAAATGTGTGGCCCTTGTTGCACATAATTCATCTTCGGGGATTCATATGTGCTATCGACAGTTCAAAAACAACAAGCTTAGACCCTTTACTCTTGCTAAATTAAGAGGGTACTCGAATCAAGGGATTCTTGCCTCCCTAGATGCTAATGTTGTCCCCAAGCATAAAGGCAAGTCCAGTAAGTTGGGTGGGGAAGATGAGGAAGAATTTGCACTTGATGATCCTGTGAGAGTGGGTTCTAAGAGGAACAGAAATTACAAGGGAAAGCAAGGACTTGAAGATGGGACTCTTGGTGTTAGAAGTTTTGCTTCTGGGAATCAGGCAACAAAAGGTGAACCAACATACCCAAAGTTGAAGCTTAGGTTACCAAGGAAACAAATGGTCACCCAAGTTGTTGGAACCGAGTCCCAACTTCCAGTGTCTTTCAAGGTTGGTGACAGGATAGAGCTGCTCTGTCAAGATAGTGGCATCCGAGGCTGCTGGTTTCAATGTAAGATCTTGAAGAAATCTCAGAAGCAGCTGAAAGTTCGATACAATGATGTGGAGGATGCAGAAGGATTGGGCAATTTAGAGGTATGGAAAAGCTGACGAAATTTTATCGTGTTCCCTTGGCTTCCAAACAGAAGAAAACTTAAACGAATTGTCTATGATGCTGTGGAAAAACGTTTGGTCACACTGTTTTTCTTTTTTCTGGACCAACGTCATAGGCATTAGAAAATCCATATTAGTTGGTTTCATTTCAAGGCCCATGGCCCCAAATACCCTTTTCTAATGTATATGTGCATGATTTGCTTTAATATCAACCAGGGAAAGGGATTTGATATCTTGCAATTATACATTGTACATGTAGGAGTGGGTACCTGCATCTAGAGTAGCGGCTCCTGATAAACTGGGAATGAGATGCTCAGGCCGCCTGACAATCCGGCCATGCCCTCCCAAAGTTTTAACAGACTTTCCTGTTGAGATTGGAGCACCTGTGGATGCCTGGTGGTGTGATGGTTGGTGGGAAGGTCTTATCACTGGAGTTGGAATTTCTGGACCTGATACTGTGCAAGTTTATTTTCCTAGTAAGTTGTACTATTTTGCGAATTTTGATGCATTGAATGAAATTATTGCCACGGTACCTCAAAAGGGAGCACTAGTTTTTTAACCTCCAATTTACACTGAATTCATGTATAGATTTTACATTTTAGGTATGCATCAATTTGCGTCATGGTAAGTGACGACTTTTTCTTTGTGATGTTAGGTGAAAAGAGGTTTTTGACTTTCCAGAAAAAGGATATTAGGGCTTCCAAAGATTGGGATGGGAGCAGATGGGTTGATACAAAAACAAAGCCAGAAATACTCCTACATATACCTCTAAATGTCAGTTCCAGCACAAAGCTCTCATCTGCTAGTGCAGTGATGTGCGGGTCTGAGATTCATAAGACTTCTAATCCTGAGGTTATTGATGGACGAGGAAAGGGATTGCTTGATTTAGCCAGCTCCATTGATCGTTTGAAGATTGTGATGGATTCCACCAATTCAGGAATTCGTCCTTTTATCAACAATAAGTTTGAAGTTAACAATCTTAGTGGCAATAAGAATGCTAATGCAGGGAATGGGGATAAGTCAGGTTAGGAGGAAGATCTTTGTCCAGTCATCGAGAAACGTGAAGCGGCGGAATCCGTTAAAGTTACCATGTAACTCGGTGCTGGGTTGGGGGTCTTCTGTTTTGGCGATAGACGTAGGTTTTCATTGTTTTTGTAGATAAAACACAGACGTTGGCATATGGGCATTTGAAGGATGGTGCCAAAGTTTTCCTAACCTCAAAAGAATTGGCTGGTGTACAGGAATATATATCTGGTGGCTAGTAGATTCGGGTGTTTTTGGGATAGAAAAAACTATCAAATGTAATCATACTCGATGTCAGGCTGGACATGAGGAAAGTGTTCATGCATCCACAGGCGTTGCGGCATTAGTTTATAGTATTTTCGTTTACAGAGTATAGTTTTATAGTTGGACATGACTTCTTGAGTTTTAATTGTAAAGCTTAGAAGTTCGTTTTTGGTTAATTAATAAAACTCTGGTTCTTTATGAAATGTGCCTTCTCTTTTCTAGTCAGTATGAATTTATGAGTTCACTTTCAATTGTTCCTATATGAAGTAGTGAATATTTTCAGGTTGCTCCCGAACAGGGCCAACACTGCAGAATAGTCTGCTTCTTTTCTGATATTTTGAGGATGCTTTTACTTCAGCTTCTGTCCTTACGTGACTACACGGTCGTAGCTGGGCAAGTGTTTGTTAAAGATGTCTTTTAAGTTTATTTACCGAGAGAGAGAGAGAGAGAGGTTTATTTACCGAGAGAGAGAGACAGAGAGAGGTTTATTTACCGAGAGAGAGAAGTTTACTTACCGAGAGAGAGAGAGAGAGAGAGAGAGAGAGAGAGAGAGAGAGAGAGAGAGACAGTCATCTCATCATCACGTGGCTGGATATTGCCGGGTTGTCGATGTAAGAATACCACCATCTTCTCTTATAAGCATTTGATTGCAAAATTCTTGGCGGATTAGATACTTATAACTCGGAAGACGTCAAAAATGTAAATGAGAATGCTTTTCATTTTTTTTTTTTTTTCAAATTCTCTCTAACAAAATGAATAAAAATGATGATAATTTACAAACGATAAGCATTAAGAATGATGAGATGGCTTAAGCTTAATGGCTGGGCTAAGATGGTTTCATCTTTCATGGCTGAGCAATCCCCTTTTTCACGAGCATATCATAGACCCTGTCGATTTTACTTGGCTCTATCTTGAATAGATGATGTGCATCGGATTTTTTAGTCATGTTGCCGCTGAAGATTTGTATTGACATAATCTCTATCATCTTAAGATAAATCGGTGGAGCTAACCTCATCTCGCCGCATAGCCGTTTCTCCTGCCAACCCATCAGAGTAGATTGTTCATACAAAGCCTTCGTAAATTCGTAATCCATTTTTAAAGTACTTCACATTTTGTTGACAACGAATTTAGTACTAAAGGCTTCTGACATGGCATTTATGGAAGTGTTGAGGCAATTCAAGGAAAAAGCAGCGTCGAGTGATGACCAGCTAACTAAAAAACAGATTAATCGGATACTTACAGCTTCAGACAGTAGATCTGCACCATTGAAGCCCATTATATCCATATCAACGACGGAGCTCGAAGCGGCCTGTCCGGTTGGTCTTGAATTTGTGTCCTTGGAATCAGAGGCCATGAACGCATTGGGACCACCTTGACTGCTTGTACCAACACGAGGGCTTTCCTTTACCCTACAAGCATTTTCTTCAGCTTCCCTTTTCCTTTTCTGTTCAAGATATGTATCTGCCTCAACTGATGTACGACAACCAGCAGCTCGGGCCTCCTGTGTATTACATTGTGCAGTGTATAAGCGGAGAATAAGTTGGTTGTGAATGATTTATTCTAGCACAACCAAGACAAGAATATAAAGAAACCAAATTCAATTGGTGGATGACAACAATGCATCGCACCTTGAGTTCCTGAATTCTTTTCTTTGTCCGATGCTCTGAAATGACGGTCTGAAGCAACTCTTCATGTTCTTCCTTTGAATGGAAACGCATGAAGATGTCATAACGTCGGCATATCGCCCTCTCTTCAGGAGATAAGTCCTTCTCAAAAGGCTTTGGATATAACAAATTTCTTTCTAATATTAAATCCTTCCTACGCTTCCTCTCATCAAGCCTGCCAATAAGTTTTACGTCAACTAGAGCTACCACAAACATCTAATTGTTTAGGAGATTTTTTTTTTAAAATAAAAATAAAAAAGCTGAAAATTAATTTTCTGTGACCTACCTCTTCGAGTAGATACGCAGCACTCTCAACTTCAGCTCACGCTCTTCCTCAGTGTCGGCATCCTTAAATTCCATGTCAGCCAGTAACTGCTCAGCATCATTATCATATTCGGGATCAAATTCCTGCCTTTTGGGGTTATAACCACTCAACTCAACCAAAGGACCCTCATTAACCGAAACCGGTTTCTTTCCCATACCCCTGTCCGCTGGAGGATCTGCCAACAACACAAAAAGAAAAGTATAATCTAACAGTTTTTCCAAATTGAGTTATAGGAAGCTAGAAGCCTCACTAGAATTTGTAGCATCTAATTTTGTCCGGGAGTAGATGCTGAGAAAGTCAGTCACTGACGTCAACGGTAATATTGTTAGGTTTTTAGTTGGCAATTTTTGACAGCAGGATTTGAAATTCAAAAAACCAGCTTTTGGGTGCAGAACAAGTCTTCGTTTGAAAATTGAGAAGAAGATAATATGTGCAAGCTTGACATATTCAGATCCAATTTCAGGGGAAAAAAAAAGGACAATAAGTTTGAAATCTTGGAGAAAAAGTAAAGGTTTATCCTATATTTAGAAGATTTATTTTTTTAAAGTTTTAAAAATTATCTTCTGATTTTTTTTTTTTAAATATATCTTCAAGTATTTTATCTCGAGAAAATTTTTTTTTGGGATTTTGAACAAGTTTTTATCACGTATATCTTCCATTGAGAATTACTTGCCTTTAGGGACTTGGATATATTTGATTTGTCTTTCCTAAAAGAAAGTAATCACGTCCAGATGACAAAGGGTAAAAAGTAATGGATAAATAGTAAACATTTATGATCACACGTGAAGGTATTAAACCATACCTTCAACTTTTACAATGCTAGGGGCATCTTTGACTTGGGTCCCCTTGGATGGCTTCTTGTTAGGAGCAGCTGCTGAAGCATTTGCGCCGCTGGAACGAGACCCAGATTCTGTATCTGCAATATAATAAACTAAGATAAGTCTCTACCTTTCCTATCTTTTAACGAATTGAAATCCAATAGTCTAGAATGTGTTTTGTCTGACCAGCGTTAAAGCCAGATAGTAAACGGCTTGAGCCACCTTTATGTGAATCTTCAACTCTGAGTAAAAGAAAAGTGAAATAAGATAGGTGAACTAAGAATCTAACATAAGTAACTCGAAGGGGAATGATAGCCATACTTGATTCTTGCAGAAGAAAAGGGAGATTCTTCTTTCAAATTAAGCTCCGAAATAGTAGGAAACCCTGTACAGTGGCAAAATTTGATAGAGGAAATATCAATTATCACGACAAAGAAAGTTTCGAATAACATTACTACCTAGTAACTAATCAATACAAACTGAAGCCAGAATACCTCCTAATTCATGGTATTCTGATTCATTTTAACTTGAGTATCTTTTTCTAAAATTTAGCAGAGAGTAACTACTAACATTGAAAAAGAAACAGTCAGACAGTCATAAGCATTATAAACTCCATTTTTGATTAACTTATGAGGCACATTTGGATACGCGCTGTCATTGACCATAACCTTAAATCACCGAAACATCAATCATCCTATTTGCAGATCCATGAATATTATAGATTTTCTCTATTGAACGAGGGCTACACAACAATTAGATCTCACGATGCAGTAAAAACAGGAAAACAATAAAGAGAGAAGGGAAATAAGAAGAGAAAGCAAAATTTCTCACTAACCTTTCTTGTCCTCACTTTGTCCCTTAGCCTTAGCAAGAAGCTCCTTTCTATTTTTCCCAACATGAGACATGTCCTTGGACAAATACATTCAGACACTTGATTACTTTCACAATAAGTTGCTATTATCAAAACAGCATTAACTATCTCAGAATGTTTCATACCGGAAGAGGAAAGAATGGGGAGTTCATGTATACATTCGTATAGTGATTGATGCATTGCTCTTTACTCTTTGTCCCCACGTGCTCAGCAACTTCAGCCGAGTTTCCCAAGCCATACATTTCGATTCCCTAATATACGAAAATAATTGAACAAAAGTTGGATAAACGACAGACCTGAATTCATTAGTTATTTTCATTTTTCTTAAGTACTAAATGAGAGATGAAACCAAAAGAGAAGTACCTCAAGAAGCAGTATCTCATCATCTGCATTCCAGTCAGGGCAGATAAGAGGGAAAGATAAATTATCCTGTTAAATGAAAATACACAAAAAGCATCTAGTATAAGTAACGCTGTAATTTCCTTTATTTTCAATTATCAGAAGAGATATAACTCTCTAAAACTCAGCTACAAACTATTTGACATGATATTGGAAGGGAAAAGGAAATCAGTCTTCTAGATATGCTTTCTAGTTATGAGAAAGCCTTGTACAAACATGATAAGTTGCTGAATATCTAAAGAGGTAAGTCCAAGTAAATAGTTTTACACAAACTTCTTCTCAACTTCAAAACAAAAATTTACAGCGGTTAAAGAACTGTTGAAACTTCCATGACACAAAAATCTGCTTTATTGCTTCTACATATAACCTAAACCATAGAAGGAAAATGATTTTTATTAAAAAGACATTACGGACCATAACCCTGTAAGGGTGATTGCTTTTATGAGGTGTCACTTCAGCTCCCATAGAAAAACACTCTATGCATAGGTCAAAATCAGGGCACACGAAACACTTGATTCGGATTTTCCCCGTAATGTCCTTGTCGCAGTAATTACAATGGTATAAAGCCTTCCCTTCACTCGTTCCTTGACCTGACTCCAATAAAAAATGAAAGATTTAAGAGAGAAAAATTGAAACATAATATAGATAGCTGTAAAAAATAATCTCTATGATGTTTCTGCTCTTCACAGGTGAAACAAGTATATTGATACAGTATGTTACCTAATGTATGTTTCTAACCCAATGTCAGAGAAGAACTTAACATTCCCATAATGTAATTTTTTTCCCCTGGAGCGAGAAAAAAATTATCCATATTGTTAAAAATGCATGGACAGGCTAATAAACATGAACTTAATCTATATTTTGCCAATTAATATTACAATTAAATAAAGTTAAACCTTTACCCCCAAAAAAGGATACCACCAACAAATCCCCTTAAGTTTTGGCATTTATAAACTGTTCATATAAATCACAGAATTCACTTCTTAACAAATTCAATGGCGTATTACAAGATGGTGTAAAAGTACCTGCAGAGGCAGATTCTGAATTTTCCCCGCTTGATGAGTGTTTCTTTCTCCTTGACCTGTTGGGCAAGAGTAAAAAATGGATTTTCAGGTCAAATATGAAAGTTTTACCAATAATACAAGAAAATTGGTTAAACCATAGCAAAATATTAAGATTAGTGTGGTCAAATCAACATAAAACCTTATATACTAATAAACCCAAATGACAAAACAACGCCAAGACTTATCACGCAGGAAGAATGCGAATTGTGCATTTGGGTTTTACCAAAGAATTCCAGTTCTGTTTTATTCTAAAATTTCAATTTCACACTGAAAATTCTACTGAGCACAAACTAGAAAATAAACTAACACCTGAAAAAATCAAATTGCAAGGAAGAGAAAAGAAAATAAAAATGTAAATCTAACCAGGAAGAACATCAAATGCAAGTTGAAATATCAATTCAAATGCAACAAAAGAAAAAGAGAAAAAAAAAAAAAAGCACACAATTCAATTAAAAGGCGAGACCTTTGATGGGGGTCCTCATCAGCGGAGTGAAAATTTCCACGAGAACGACCCATTGTTGATGATTTTTGAACTCCAGCAAGCTAACGAGCAGTACAAGCGAAAGTGTTCCGTTGTTTTTTTCTTTTTTCTTCAGCGAAGCACAGAAGAAAAAAAGAACAGAACAGGAACGAGGAATTGAAGACAAACAATTTTCTGGATTATAAACATGAAATGATTTTTCTGTCGTGATAAGCTCCAAGTGGGTATTAATGGGTCAGCTCAGGTCCTCAGGAAATGGTTTTTTTTTTCCAGATTTTCATATTTTGGCTCCTTTTTCAGGATTTTGATGTTGGGTTGGTAGCATAGATGCCCAAAATACTGGGGGATTTTTTTATATATAATTGCGTATTTTTGTTTTTTTAATTTTGATTAGAGGATTTAAATTATGTGATTTAAATTATTTTTAATTTATGTTTATTTTTTATAAAAAAAAAATACTGTAACAAATTACGAATCATAATTCAAATCAGAGAACGAATACTCTCTACCAAACATTAGTTATTCTTAGTTTAATAGAAAAGAAAGGGGAACAAGAAAAGAATTAAAATTATACTACTGTAAGGCTGTGTTTGGGATGGCAGAGAGTTGTGGCATTTTGTGTTACCATAATACGACAACAATTCAGTCGACCAAAATTAACTCCATTAATTTGATTAGTTAGATTTTTAGTTAAAAAATATAAAATTTTTACCAAATATATTTACTTTTCAGAGGGTTAGTGACTAATTTTTTCGCATACATATATCATGAAGAGTTTTTTTTTTCTTTTCTTTTTTTTTTCTGGAGTATTATAACGAGCTGAGTGTGTGTTAATTAAATTAGCAAAACTGCGTGCTAATTTATTTGACGATTTGAATGCAGAAGCTTAACGATAAAATTGGTGTCAATACTGACTAGACTAGCTCGGGACCAAAAATAAATTAAAAAAATTAAAAAACGTATTGCGTCTCAACTACATTTTAATGTATATGCTATGTTATGACCATTTATGAGCGATCTATGATTTTATTTTTTAAAAAAGTAAATATGACAATTTCATTAAAAGGCTGTCAAAAAGATAGAATACATGATTGCACTAAAGCTATAGAAACGGGTGTCACTTACAAGACTAGACATTAGAAACACATCCTAATCTAATAACGGGAAGACACCTATGAAAAATGACTTTGTAACATTTTGCCACAGAAAATCGACTCAAAATGAGTCAACTCCTGTAATGGACCTCACACATATACTTCAAACTAGCAGCAGTAGGGAAGCCAACCGCTGGCTGAGGGAGAAAACACCATAGACAGATAGAGGTGGAGAAACCACCCTCTAACTGAAGAAACACACTGGAGTATGGAGAAACCATCGCCATTAAACTGATTAAGCCCCCAATCTAGTTGAATTATTAATTGAGATAGATGTTACATTTTTAAAGAAACGAGCTATATTAAACTGTATTCATTAGGAAGAGGGAAAAAAAAAGCTATATCAAATTGTGTTCTCATAACTCAACTAAACAAAGCCTTATTTTTTTAATTAGACACTTTACACATTTGTCTTTGAACTTGTATGACTTTAACAAATTACCTAATTTTGACACGTCACCCTCTTAATTTGTAAAATTATTGTAATATGCTCCATTTTGACGATAATTGTGTCAAATTAGTGTCGAAAAAACCAATTCGGCGAAAATTTCTAACATTCTAAATCCAAATGTAACACAAATCTTTCAATTCTCCAACTTTTAATCCCACAAAATAATGTGAGCAAATTTAGTAAAATAGAACACATTGTAATAATTTTACAAATTCAGGAGGTTGATTGTCAAAATTAAAAGTTTGGAGGATAATTTGTTAAATCACGACAAGTTGAAACGGTAATTGTGCTAAAAATCCTTTTTAATTTCCATTTTCCCCCTTGTTTTCACAATTTACAAGTGATTCGACATTGTTTTCACACATTCCATAATCAACTACTGGCGGGGAGATATAATAAAATAAACACCTATAAATACATACACAAATTTACCAAATACAATTATAGCTACAAGGCCTGAATGACGTTCAGGACAACAAGACTCCAATAAATATTCTTAACGTACCATTTTTCTAGAACATCATTCATTATCCCTCACCATTTTCCTCATTATCCTCTTCTTGTTCTTGCTTGTGAGGCTGAACAAATCAGGGTCTATCACCAGAAAATTATAGTTCAAAACCTACTATTGTGGTAATGTATGATATGGATCATACTAGTGGGAATTTTACGGTAGGCATGAAAAATATCCCACCGATAGTACTTGGTTTAAACCGCTAAAATCGGTACAATTTTTTTTTTTTTTCGATTTCGCATATTTTTCCTTTTACATCTTAATGTGATAATTTTTCATTTATGTCGTGTATGTGTTAGTGTTCGTGAAAAACTTAAATATTTGAGTGCTAATTTTATTTTATTTTAGGTGTGCTCACACATACGTCTTCGTAGATTCAAGAAATTGACTAAAAAGATTCGAGTATTCAAAACAAGCTTGAAACGAAACGTTCGTAGTCAAAGAACTTAAGTTATCGACCTAATCATTCACTAAGTAAATTTATTCATAAATTAATTTGATTAATTTATTCGTGCATAAATTAATGTATTCTATAGAGTATCTCAAAGATTTATTAAAATTTTTGTTATATACGATCTGCTAGATACACGCTTTCGCATAGAAAATCATTTTCAAAACCAACACTATCTTTGTTCATGAAAATGGATTTTTGATTTTCTCATGTGTATCGTGAAGCTAATAGATGTGCCGATAAACTTGTTAATCTTGATATTATTAATTGTAATAGATGTGGTGGTCTCATTGTCCTAGTTCTTAGGAATAAATGTAACAATATTCTTTGAGATATTTTGACTATTAATAAAGATTTGTTTATTTTATATATCTATGTATTGTCCTCCTTATGTTCATAATAGTTGAATGTATGATAAGTAAACTGAAAGTCTGAGACTGTCATTCTAAATCTTTAGGTCATGCATGTAATGTGAAAAACATGCGGAAGACAAGAATCTAAAGATGATAGTCTAAATCTTATGATCCACAATCGAGGGAATAAAGTTAGGCGCTTTATTCATGTTAAGATTGTTATGTTGTCTACTTCCTAACGGAGACGGCTTGTCTTGGTCGTCGGAGGTGGGACTCCATGGGTGGAGACATTGATATAGTTTCTAATGGTGAAATCTATATTGGATCGGACCAAAGTTGAATTGTTTTAATTAATAATTCTGTTTGAATAAAACAATTCACTTTTGACGAATTCTATGTTGTCATCTTAATCCTGAGATGGATGATGAACCTGTATACTTGACTTGTATCCTTTGATGTACTAAAGGGAGACATCCTGACATTATGTAAAGGTACGCTTGCCGGTACATTGGGGGTATGACTCGTGTATGCGTAGATTCGTTATTCATAGATAGTGGAATCCATAGCTCCTATAAAGAGTCAATGATATCCTCTTATGCATTATCAGTGGATTGAAAAATACGAGCGCTCGGCCATTAGACTACTCTGT